CCAGGAGAAAGAGCGGCGAGGAAACTGGGACCCAGAAGCTGAAGCTGGGGATGGAAGAAAGGAAAAGAGAGTGGGGAGCAATGGGGACAAGAGCAGAAATGTTTCTGAGCACTTGGACACACACGTCTGCATGCTGGACCAGATATTTATTCCTGCCTGAACATTCCTCTATTGCTGAGCAAATAGCCGTGAAACATGGAGGCAAAGTGTGTTGTTTTTCCTCTGGCAGGCCAGCTCACACAGGAGGGAGTTGCTTTTTGGTGCTGTTGTTGAGTCCATTGCTGAAGATTGGAGAGCTCTGTGCCACAGGTCCCAGCTTACTACCAGCACCTGGGGTGGCAGTCTGGTTTCTGGATTTGTTGTTCTTGCTGAGATCTTGAAGTCTATAAAGGTTCAAAGAACAGTGCTAAAAATAAAATTGAAAGATCTTTAATGTGAAGTTAAGATCTCCAAAATTGCAGAACTGCAGTAGCTAATGCATCTGCAAACTGCTTCGTGTGGTTATGCATGCGATAATAATAAGCTGTTTAAATATAAGCTTGTGCATATAATCATGTAGATGGCAAGCTATCACAGATTTTACAGATTATAAAGAGTGGTATAACTTCTATTTCATAATCAGCATCTAAATATTTGTAGAAGAAGTAAAAAATAATAAAATCTTCATGTAAATGTATATTTTTTTTTCTTGCTAGAAGCATGCTTTGTTTGGGCTTCTGTTGGATGCCTGTGTGCTGGTAAGAGTAGTGATCTAACAGTAGTATGAGAAAGATGTGTTTTATAAAATAAAATAGTGAAGATGCATTGCCTAAATTATACATAAAAAATAACATCTGTTTTCTGAAGACATAGAGCATATCAAGAGTGCAGAGGATATCGGCAATAAGTATTTTACTTTAGTGATAAAGTATGATTTTTACGAGGTGTATTTTAAATGATCAGTAAAGAGTTTGTAGGAATGTTGCTAGGAAAGCATGTGAAGAGTTGTTCTGTAATGAAAACTAAATCTGGGACATATTAATTTAAAGACTTGAAGAAAAATCACTTGTGAATTCAAAAAGCAATATTATCAAGCTGTTCCACTAACATATTTCAAATGACCAAGATTCTCTGCCAAAGTGAGGGTGAAAAATACTTGAAGTGCAGGTATGGATATAAACCTCAGTGAGAGGTGACTGTATTTCCTTCAGGGTCTAAACCTGACCTCTGAAGTGAAAGTTTAGATTTTGATTTGGTGGGGGTTTGTTTGTTTGTGTGTTTAAAGGCATTGTAAGCTAAATGGCAGAATCATCTACTTTTTCTCAGAATTAAAAAATATCTCTTGGTTATTTCAGATCAAGATTTTATATACTACTGTTATTGCAAGAGACCATTAGAAAGAGTTGTCATTCTAATTTTTAATGTTTCTATTGCATTTTTGTTAATACACTGTGGCAATGCCCAAAGGGATGAAATAACACCAAGTTTCAGAGCTCACAGGTATATTCTGTTTAAAACTAGTGCTAGCACAGAAAACCTTCAGATTTGTTGCTGCTGTATCAGTCTCACATTTACCCTTCTGTTGGATCTGTTCTAGCCTGAATCATTCTGTATGTCCTTCCCTATATCACTGGCACCCTTCCTCTTTGTACATAAAATTGTACTCTGAACTGCACTGCCCAATGTTCTTCCTCTTGGAGTTCCTGCCTCGTCCTTTTACTCCTTGGAGTGCTCAGTTACATCAGTTCTCTACACAACTGCCAGTGAATTTGGTAGTTTTTTGCTACCAACTCAGCCTTCTACAGCTGTAATATATTAAGTCAAACTGTGGTTTCCTTAGCTTTCCATGAATTTGTATATACTCTCCGTGGTATGCTCTGCTGCCTTTTCTCCCAAGCCCTACCCGTGGTTCCCCTCCTTGGCCCAATGGGCTCATGCCTTCCAGAGCACTGTAATTCATGGGTTTATTCTTGATGGATATAATATATAAGTTTGTCCCAAATGGAATGAAAGATTGCAACCTCATATTGGCTGTTGGCACTATTTGCTCTGTTTGTGTGGCTGTTTTGCCTGGTGCTCTGTTACCCTTTGCCAGCTCTTGTCCCTCTCCATATGTATGGTACTTGTCACAGTATTGATCAACTACTTCGCAGATCCTTGAGTGTAGCTGACTGTTCTGTCCTTAACTATAGCTAAGTGCCTATTTTGTGGAGTATACTCTCTTGTGTCATCATTAGCTGTAGTCCTGTGTGTTTGTTATGGAGACGGTGGGAGGAGGAGGGCTGTGAATAAGATGCATTGGGGTCCATTCTTGGATGACTGGGCAAAGTCAAAAACAACTGGAGTGCACAACTGATTCTGAGGTGCAATTTGTGAAAAAGCAGAGGTCAAAATAAATGCATTGTGTGTTTTTGGGTTTATATTATTAGTCTATATTGTTTTCAGGTAACTATAAGTTAATTTGAATGATAATACAGGGTTTTTTATTTGCTTCATCAAACTATTGCACATTAACATTCCTGCATATAGAAGTAATCATCCATACATCTTTCTCTGTTTGAGAGATTACACATTTCTTTCTATTCATATTCTTCCAGGTGACTTGGATTATTACTGGCTGGATCCTGCCACGTGGCACAGCAGGGAGACATCCCCCATTAGTTCGGTAAGAAATAGGGAAAAAGACGTTCATAAGTATGAATGAAAATGTTTGCTTGCTCAGTTCAACATTGATATTTTGTTGTAATAAAATTGTGCTATGCAAAATATATGAAAACTTGGTTTAGTGGATCATGGAAATTGAAATCATGAAGACATTTTCATCAAAATATATACTAGTACAATTGCCTAAATTTTAACTTGAATTTAATTATTTTATAGACATGATACTAGATTTCACTACACTCCACAAAAGCAGCTGTGAGTGTGATGCTGTTCTGGGAGAGATTAATGACTTTTTCTATTGACTTGGAGGGGGAAAAGATCATTTGGTTTTTTATTATATAGTGAACACACATATTAGGTCTGTATAACATGTATATTATCCTAAAGAACAGAATTTATGAATGCACTTTTCAGGGTCATGGAATTTAAAAGTAAATGTTTAATTTTATTACCTAAAGTTAGTTTTAAATGTTTAATTATATTGAACTTTGATTTATATTATAATTCTACCTGCAGACTTAGTGCTGAGATTTTTTTACTGTGGGCATAAATATTTAGTGAAGCCAGAGTCCAACAGATATAATAATAGAAAGCTTCGGTGCAATATATAACACATCTGAAGGATGTTTGTGTCTACCATGACATAATGATCCAGAGATGTTATTGCTTTATAAATGTGCATCTAAATACAGGAAGGTGGTTGCACTCCTTTAATTCCATTGCTTGTTTTAACAGCATCCAGTAACGTGGCAGCCTTCTAAAGAGGGAGATCGCTTAATTGGGCGTGTTATTCTTAACAAGCGAACAACCATGCCAAAAGAATCAGGTGCATTATTGGGCCTAAAAGTAAGTATTGCATGGGTTTTGTGGTAAATGAAAGAAACTTCCACTGACCTTAGACCTAGAGGTCTAGCACGTTAAATCAGAGGACTCTCCAATTATATGGTCATTTGACAAAAATATATTCCTCATTTTTAGGAAGTTTTGGAAGTTACACAGACAAATTATGAATGTAGATGTATTTAAGCCTTCTATGCAGTCTTCCACTCATCCATGGCAATGGAGCTGAACTTTCTGATTAAAAAGTGTATGTTTATTCAGCTTCCTGTTTGCAAGACATATACTGCACATTGCAATGCATTGATGGCACCCTGCCTTTTCTAGCTCTCCTGTTTGCATTTCAGTCAAGAAATTCATCTCATAATACACACACATAAATGTCACCTGGATGCAAATGTTTACAAGGTCAGTGTTTAAAATTCACACAGCTGTTCGGAAACAGAAATTTTGTAGAACGAAACTAAATACTTAAACAAAAATTTGCAAAAAAACCTTTTAAAGCATAGCAAAGGTTGTATTAAATGTAATTCCACTTAATTCAGGGCCCCAAATTTAAGATCTTGGCAACACTGTCCAGTTGATTTAAATCCCTACGTCAGTCAGTGGTAGTGGACTCTTAAGTTCATGTCCTTAAATTGCCAGAAAACTTAAAAGGCAGAGAGTGCTAATTCTGAAGCTGGTGGGGAGTACAGTGTGCTAGTTCAAGAATTTCTCTCTCTATGCATATTTGTAACTATATGGAGCTCCAAAGATGACTGAGAGAATTTAATTTGCATGTCTTCCTCTCCCCACTGAGAACAGCAGAAACAATGCAAAATAGGAAACATTCCCATCCACTTAGGACTGAGTCTGCTTCGAAGGGCATTGACACTGAACCACTCCTTGCATATAGTTGTCTGATAGTTCAGTCCCTTGCATGTAATGGAGATGTGCGTTGTCGGTTCAGCTCATCATGGTGGGAATTAAATCAGGAAAGAACCTTGTGAACTTAGTAATGGCATACCCTGGGTAAAAGCCATTTATCCACTTTGAAGTGAGATAGTGTGGAGTGGGAATACAGAAAATGAGAACAGCTTCATTCTACTACATGTCTAATAGCCTGTAGCACAAAGCTGATTTTTGCTGGCAGCAAGCAATTTTTATTAATATGTGAGAAAAAAGGTTGGTCCTAGGAGGAAGTGCAGAATGGAGAGCTTCTCTTCGGTTTTTCAAGTTTCATTTTTGTATGATGGGAACTAAGGTCCCCACTGATAAATTTAACACATTATTGTGTGGCAACCTTGTTGGCAGGTAGGCTTCTAGATCTTGGATATATATCTGTATTAAAGCTTCTACTAGTCATTGTGATTGCCACATGGGGAAATAATACCTAATGAAGCAGCGTTCCATTGTTTCATTTTATTATAAAACTCCTCCCAGTGTATTCCTGACAAAAAATACCTGACTGGAGAGAGTAAGATAACTAAACAGAATAGCAAGTCAGCAAGACTACATTTTTTGTTTTATGTTTTATTAAAAATCTAATCTCTTGTGGGCACCTTTTTTTCCCAGACTTTCCTGATGTCTCTATGATGCTGTCATTTTAAAAATAACTCTCTTCAGTTCTCTTTAACAAAAGCCAGAAGTGCTGTTTTGTCCTGCCATGTGCTTGGATGAGAGGACCTGGGTTTTAGCAGTAGCAACATTCTTGTGAACTGTTTGTCCATGTTTCATAGTAGTGTATTTGCTGTTTTTAATTGTTGTACTAATTGCATTTGGGGATTTTCGTACGTTTGGTTTGATGTGATCTTGCAATTTGAACTTAAGAATATGACAGGCATATACTTGCAAGATGTACATTTTCTTGGTTATTTATTAAGTTTCTGCAACAAATTTAGATACTTAGCAAACTGCGTAAGACTGATTAGTCAAACACATTAAAAGGAATATGAATTTTATTGATTCTGTGTCAATTGACACAGCAGTCAATCTACTTCTTTTCAACTAGATCTGACCTTTTTGTATTTTTAACTTTGTCTGTAAGCCTCTGTAAATCCCAAATTGACAAGTTTAATTTTTAAAATTATGTGAAAACTATTCTATCTATTTATGCTTGATATGATATGTGGTTTGTGCTTGGAAATTCACAAATTTATGATTAACCAGGTTGTTGGAGGAAAAATGACAGAATTAGGACGACTTGGTGCCTTCATTACCAAAGTGAAGAAAGGTAGCTTGGCTGATGTGGTGGGGCATCTCAGAGCAGGTAAATCAATCAGTTGCATACAAAATATATTGCCTTTTAATTATGGCTTTTTGTAATGCAGCTGTTAATTTATATTAATGTTGCTTATGTTATATGCTAATATTTTTTAAATTCAGGACAATACTGTAATGTTAGAATAGAATGGACTAGAATAGAATAGAATCATTAAGATTGGAAAAGACCTTTAAGATCATCAAGTCCAACCATCAACCCAACACCACCATGCCCACTAAACCATGTCCCAAAGTGCCACGTCTACACATTTTTGAACACTTCCAGTGATGGTGACTCTACTTCCCTGGGCAGCCTGTTCCAATGTTTGATCACTCTCTCAGTAAAGCCATTTTTCCTACATCTAGTTTAAACCTCCCCTGGCACAAATTGAAGCCATTTTCTCTCATCTTATTGCTGGTTACTTGGGAGAAGAGGCCAACACCCTCGTCGCCACAACCCCCTTTCAGGTAGTTGTATAGAGCGATAAGGTCTCCCCTCAGCCTCCTCTTCTCCAGGCTGAATAACCCCAGTTCCCTCAGCCGCTCCTCATAAGACTTGTGCTCCAGCCCCCTCACCAGCTTCGTTGCCCTTCTCTGGACACGCTCCAGCACCTCAACGTCCTTCTTGTAGTGAGGGGCCCAAAACTGAACACAGGATTCGAGGTGCGGCCTCACCAGTGCCGAGTACAGGGGCACAATCACTTCCATACTCCTGCTGGCCACACTATTCCTGATACAGGCCAGGACGCTGTTGGCCTTCTTGGCCACCTGGGCACACTGCCGGCTCATGTTCAGCCGGCTGTCAACCAGCACCCCCCGGTCCCCTTTCGCCGGGCTGCTCTCCAGCCACTCCTCCCCAAGCCTGTAGCGTTGCATGGGGTTGTTGTGACCCAAGTGCAGGACCCGGCACTTGGCCTTATTAAACCTCATACAGTTGACCTCTGCCCATCGATCCAGCCTGTCCAGATCCCTCCGCATTTCTAATTTATTATTAACTCCAACTGCTTGGATGTATGAGCAAAATACTGCTGATCAGTGCTGCTGTCAGGACTGAGTGTCACAGGTGAAGTTTTGCTTGCTAGCTCAGGGTCTGCATGTTACGCTCTATAGAATCAATGTAAACATTTTTAAAAACTGTTTCATTGTGGCAAACAAAACTCACTACAGTTACTTTACTTGCACCATAGTGTCACCTGAAGAATGATGCACTGTGTACACAATGGACTTCTTTCAGTGTGAATTGTTACAAATAAAAATGGAAAACAACCCAAGAAAATGATCTTAAAATATTTAATTTATGTAAGTGGTATATACTACACTTACAAATAAGTGGCTGTACTGTTGGCACTTTTCAAGCTTCTAAATGAAGCGAGAACTATGCACAGTATAGTATAGTAGTTTTCAAAACTACTTCTTAGTGGTTTGTATTTTTACTATGGCTCTAAGCAACTACTTTCCAAGTATTGCCTTAACAAACCAGAGTCTATGCAATGCCTTCTTAGCAATCCAGAAGCTTTGATGACAACTTGTATGAATTTAAGATAATTGCATAAAGCAAATAGTAATAAAGAAGAAGAAAATATGATGAGTCTCGAAAAATATCTTTCTTTGTTTTGGCATTTGTTAATTTTTTTTTATACCAATTCAACATACTTGGGGTTGATAGCACCAGTTAATGTAGTCGTTTATAGATTTTAACTGCAGATTATAATTACAGAAAATAAGATTCTGTCCACTAATCTTGAAGTATTTGGGCTGAAAAATTACATTTCTAATGTCTGATCTAGGTTGTTTATTAAGCCAAAGCTATTTTTAATTTCTAAAAATATTTTTAGAGCCATAATAATTTCACAGAAAAAAATACAGTTTTGCACATTTTTTCAATGAATGAAAGTCTATTCATCCTATTATGTGGGGCTAAAACACAAAAAAAGACATAGATTAGTCCTTGCTTTATGAAAAACCTCCAAAACTTGATTAAATTTATAAATCATTGATTAATTGTACAAACCTCATAAATTTGAATAAAGGCCAATATGAAGTCTTGCATGAGGAACAGAATAACCCAGTGCAACAGTAAGCACTAGGCGGAAAAGCATCTGGAGGTGCTGGAGGACAGTAAGTTGAACATGAGTCAGCAAAGCACCCTTGGAGCAAACGCCCGTCATGTACAGGGCTGTATTAGCAAGATTGTCTTTAGCAAGTTGAGGGAAGTGGTTGTTGCTCGCTATTCAGTGCTTATGAGGCTCTATCTGGAGTACCGTGTCCAGTTTGTGTTCCTCTAGTACAAGAGAGATACTGACAAACTGTTGTCCCTACTTTGAGCAGGGGTTGGAACTAGCAGACTCCCAGAGGTATCTCCCAATCTGAATTACTATTTTAGAAATCAATATGAAAAAATTCAGAGATTTGCAGCATAAGTAAGTCTGAAAACTTTCTATCTCTGCTGAACATGCATCAGTAAGTGGGGATAGAATGTAAGATGCATTAATATTCCTTTCTAGAGGCATCTTAGATATCCTGGTATATATGCCTCACCAGCAGAAGTGGCTTCGTAAGAGTGCAGGTGTCCTGTAGGTGCTACCAGCTAGCTTTGTGCAGATTATCTTGGTTATCCCAAACATCTACAGTGTAAGGTGTCTAACAGCTCCTTGACTGACTGACTTGCAACTCTGGGCTACTACAGTAGGACTTAAGATTCTACTTTAAGGAAAAACAACATGTTAGTTTATAACAGTTGTTAGCTTTAAAATACAGTCAGAATTAAAGAAGAAACTGAGTATCTTTTCACTGAGTTGTATAAATTTTAAATGAAGTTCCTAGGCAATATCTAATTCCTGTTCCCTCCTGACATACAATTAAGTGTTAAATACACAAAACATTTAAAACTGTGTCAGATATTCAGCATGGTAGAAATTTATACTTATGTCAGCAAGCATTTATTAAGTCTGTCATTACGAAGCCCTTATGTTTTAAAGAATGCCAAAATGCTTTGAAAGCCAGTGGAGTACTCTGTGGCGCTTACTGTTAAAATACCAAAGTATAGGCTGTTTGGGAAAAAGGGTTGACACTCATGTAACATAAAGAGAAATTGAAGCCATGTGTTTTGCTAGATACAACATCAGTTAGGATAGTTTTCCTCAGCTTATTAACAAGCACAGGTTTGATGATTTTGCTTAGATCTCCTCAGAAAGGAGCAAAGCCAGCAGCTGAAGGATTGTTCCTGACTTAATCTGATTAACAAGAAATCATTGTCAATAAAGATAAAATCATTGCCAATCAAGAAAGTTATCTGTGGCATCAGATAGTGGTTGTGAAGTTTTGACTGCTACATATAATGGCATATGAGAGTCTAAACTTACCCTATGTTCCTTCAATTTTATTGTATAGAATGATCTTCCTTTAGAAACTATACTTCAAGATTTTCACCTTTTTACAATAATGCCAAAGTACAATACAATGTACATGCTATTCAAATTCCAGAAATGGCAAGCTGACAAAAGAAAGTTAACTAAATAACTTTCACATCCTCTTTTCCTTTCTGTCTCCCATAACATCTCCTGGAGATAGTGACTTGCTCCTTGCTTTTATTTTTTGTACATTTGACACAGACAGTGAAGACTGCCCTTTTGGTAAAGAAATTGAAATGGAGTTTATATAATGTAAGAAAATGTTGTGATTTTTAAAGACTTAACAGTAGGTATTTATATTTTTAATTTTTGAAGATTAACTTGTTTTCAATTTTTATTGCTGCTAGTTAATAAAGGATCATTTAAAAAAACTCCTCCATTTCATAGCACAGTAACAGGTGCTGTATTATTTTGGAAATACTTAATATGTTTGCACAAGTGGTTTCTTTAATAAGTTTTGTGTGTACAAATTGTAGCTGTGTTCTGACGTTTTGCTGTGTTTGGGTTTCAGCACAGCTTTTTAACTGTTTTCTGGTAATGTTACTTGATTATATAGATTTCATAAATGTTTTGTGCTTTTTTCTAAAAGAATATGGAAATGAGATAAACTTCTGTTTAAATTCAAGGGGATGAAGTTCTAGAATGGAATGGTAAACCCTTGCCTGGAGCTACAAATGAAGAAGTTTACAACATTATTTTAGAATCAAAATCAGAACCTCAAGTTGAAATTATTGTTTCAAGGCCTATTGGGTAAGGCTAAAGACTTCCTTCTTAAGCACAGTTATTACTTCTAATGGGACTTTTAAAGGGACTATTTGTGAGTTCATTATTTTTATCTCTTAATAATGGAATATGTTTCACTTTCTATTACTCTATTATTTCTATTATTCTATTATTGACTTTTGTATATTCAATTTTCTTCACTGCCTTTTACAGTCTTGGATCTATGCAATGACATACATATAAGTATAAATGTTGTTTTCTGTATGATCGAAGTACTAACAAGTTTTTTGCCAAGTGGCAAAAGAAAATTTGTGGATCAAATGGACCTGTGCATGAGAAAAATCTGTTTTTCAGGCTTTTAGCTGCATTAAATCTGGATAACTTATACAAGTATTCATGAATAGAAGGAAGAACAGCAAACATTGAGCATAGTAGGATTTTAAACAGGCTTTGTTTAAAGAGCTAAAAAAGGAAAACCAATACTCTTAACTGAAAAGACTGCATTAAGGCTTAACGATACCGGCATCGAAATCAAAAGTGGAAATAAAAATATCTTCATATTTATGAAGGTAGTTTGTTTTGTCAGAAAATTAGTATTAATGTGTTATGTTTATAGTCTTATTTTTTCTTTATTATGAATCCGGTTTGGGGGGTTTGTGGTAACAATTCTTATCTTCTTGATTTCCCAAATAAACCTTAGAAAGGTCATAAAATCTGTTCAAATTGATAAGATTAGTGGGGTTGGCCCTGCATCTGTCACAACTATTTCAATGATATTCTACATTCCGGCAAACATGACTCTATTGGGACCATTCTGAGCTAAGTCCTACAGGATTGAATATGAATCGTATATTAGAATTCACATTTATAATGTGGAACAAAGTCGCATGATTAACAATAAAAAGTGACTCTTGGCTAGTTAAAAAAAAAAATTTAAAGGATTTCAATCTCTCAGTAATTTTTCACCTTCCCAGAGTTCATGTGCACTCACTATAAGTCTCTGAATACCTGTAGGCAGATGGTAGTGTTTCCTCCTTATGAGTGCATAACTATTCCATTTTGAATTTGCTAGATTTCATCCTAATTATCATTTTATCTGTCTCAAATATGGTAAGTTTTCAGTTTCAGAAACAAAAACCACTATTAATTTTCTTTCTGACTAAAACATTTTTCTTTTACATTTATTTCACGTCAGCTTTTGATGTTTGGTATTGTCTATACCGGGCAAGTTTAGCTATATTTTGCAAATGAGTTCTGCTTTTTTAATGACAATCACTATTAAAAGTACTTAAATAAAATTAACATTCATTGCTAATTACACTTATGAGTTTGACCTTCTAATGGAAAATGAAAGCTTGATGCAATAATAGTGGTTGTTAAAAGCTAAAATTACCATCCAGATGGAGACTGTGGGGGAGAAGCAACCTTATTTTACATTCTTTGGTTGGCTAAATTAGGAGACATTCCTGACTGAAAATTGCAAATTCAGTCCTACATCTTTGTAATTAAAAATAAAATGCCATAAGGAGATTTTTGCAAGTCTAGTTTTTATGTTTAAATTGGCAGAAAAGAAATATGTTGGTACTGGACCTGACTTGAACTCCATGTCTCAGTTGAAGAAAATATAAAAATTAATTTCTACAACTGATGTAAAAGGAAAGTGCTAGATTAGTAATTTAACTAATGAACTTTAGATATATTTATTCCTATCAGTATATTTGCAAATGTCATGTATCCTTAAGCTTTTAAGATAACTTCATTATTAAACCAATTTAATTATTTTAGTTTATGAATTTGATAAATCTAATAGCTTCACATACTTTAGTACAAGGTGACAGCATTCCAGTGACATATTCTTGAAAAAAAAATTGAGAGAAAATATCACAACTGTTGAACTGAGGCAAAGAATATGAAGTGCATTCAAAGTCAAAGAATGTTTCTGAATCTGAGCGGTGAATTTTATACTAAAAAAGTGCACCCAGAAATAGTACTGATAAAATGCAGTTTTGCTTTGGATGACCCATGCTTTTTTTTTTCCTCCAGATACAGGCAAAAATAGAGCACATCAGATACTGCTTTTATTTTGAGATAAACGGAGTCTTAGCATGGAGGTTTCTACATACTGTAATAACACTGTTCTTGAAGAGTTGTGTCTTGATAATTTTTTTTTTTTTGAGAAAAGCAAATAAATATCCCAAAGCGACTAGAGCATATAACTTTGAAATGTAAAGATATTTCCTTTCACTAGCAATAACGAGACAAATTCCTGTCATGCTGTATCAGATTGGGATTTACCTGTCTGTCATCCTAAAAGAGAAAAAAAATATCAGATACTGTACAATGAAGGAAATCCTGATACTAGGTCACAAAAAAGAACCTACTGCACAGGATTTTCTTTTTTTAATATTTTTTTTTTTTTTTAGTAGTTGTAATCTATGTAGATTGTGTTACATAATGGGAAATCGTTTGCTTGCATTACATTACTTCTCCCCACCCCCCAGCTTCTCCTTGTCTTGTTATCCAAAGTATATGATTGTCTCAAATTCATGACAGGGAATTTTATTTAATCCAAGAAATCTAGTGTATCAAAGTTTTGTGTCTACCTTAGGTGCTGACTCAGCAAAATCAAAGCTGCTTGGTACAGCATTAAGTGGTAATCCATTACACCTAAAATTCCTGTGAGGAAACAGGTTCCCGAAAGACCTGAAAAATGATATTTTGTCTGCATAATTTAAGTGTTTTCATCTCTCAGTATTAATAATGCAAATAATGTACCATCACTTTTAATGGTCTCTATTTAAAAAGTCCTAGCATATTTGATCTAAAAAGCCCAAATATGACATAGTTTGGCTTAAGTGAATAATGGGAGGACTGTAATCCCACAAATTATATGACTGCTAGTTACAAAATTGATGTCTAAACAATTTTCTCGGTCTTGTAAATTTGGATTTCTGTGTCTACCGGCAAATGTAATTTTGAGTAATGGATAATTGTAGGATGTTTATTAGAGAAAAATGTGAAACGTAACACTATTAGCAGATGAAGGCATAACAACAGTAAACAGTATAACCACAATAGTACCTTAAAAACTTCACGGAAGCTAATTGATGCTAATGCTAATGATTGTAACACAAGGTAGATAACAAACCTATAAAAAGTAGAATTAATGGATTGGCTATCTAAATATGAGGGGAAGAATTACCTATGAATATGCATACAACGCGAGAGGCGGTTAACATAGGACAGCATAGAAAATCCTCTGGCGGTATGCTTTTTGGAGAGGAAACCTCGCATGGTAACTAACTGACAGTCTCTTGTGTGCTCAGGTGAGCTCTATGGCATGGTGCAGGTAAAACAAATGTTTTTTCATTTGTCTCTGTTTTTTTTGTCAGATGCTAGATTTTTTTGCTTGGATTTCCACATATAATATTGCCAAAATTGTTGTTTCTCTGGTGTGATTCAGCTCCTCTGTGCAGGGACTGCTACTGTGCTCTAGGTCCTCGCAAGGAGGTTGAACCTCCTTCATAAACCAGGCAGTACTGAACTCCAGAGAGTTGCTCAAGTAATGTAATTAGTGCAAATTGCAGATTGATCTACAGGTTCTGATGGGAAGGAACGGTTTTGGAAATAGGAGAATGAGCACTGGGGACAGGTACTCAGAAACTGAAAACTGTCAGGCATAGAGGACAATCCTTTTGTCCCCAGAGCAGCCGAAAGAAGTGTGGGTTACAAGCACATTTGAATTTGGTTTGTCTCCAGTGATCAAGCTCTTGACTATAGCCCTCAGAGAATTTATAGCTGTTCCTGTGTTTTACAAAACAGTGATCCTCACAAACCATCTATCTGCACAGAGTAGTATGAACCTGATGTATAGTTTGGTTTAATTTCTGTATTCATTAAGGTGTAGAACGATCAGACATAAGATAGTCATATAAGATCACAAAAAACCTTTGCCTTTCAGGGTAGAGATAGAAAGACAAAGCTCGATGTCAGCAGCTCTTTATTGGAATGTGTCTGACATTACTTTTCTGATGTTTACATTGGTCTGAAAGCAGAGAAAAATTTTGTTCTTTTTTCAGTGAGTGGTTGTGCTACTTCTTACTTTGTTTTTTTACCATTTGATTTGAATAGTCTAGGTTTGAATAATATAAGTCTGAGGTTTCTACTGTTTCTTCTGAAGAGCTTTTTTTTGTAAATAATACTGTTAGAGTATTTCCTGCAATCTGTAAGGGCAGGCTAGATAAGACTCATTTTCTTACCTACAAAGCTATAGATTATAGTTTCTTTTTAGAATTTTCATTCTTCAATTAAAATGCCAATGTTTTTAAATATGGACAGAAGCATAACTTTGAACTATTTCATGTCCATTTTGAAATCAATAGCAGAAAGCAGAACTGTTACAGAGCTTGTTAGGATACTCTGCCATGAGTTTGGTGATCAGTACTGTACTGCATACTTAACTTTTTGGTTGCTTTGCTTTTTGTGTCTTGCAGTTCTGTGTGGAGCTGTACTTAAACAAGACAAATATATTAGAGAAGAGGAGATAGTCTAGCAATAATTTTTATATATATATATATACACACACACACACATAGACCTTATATATATAAAGTTTTAGAGATTGTCTGTGCGTGAACAAGCTCTAATATGGTGGTCATGAACAGAGTGGGTAGGAAAGCTGCCAAATAACATTTCTATTGCAAACCATGCATTTTGTCAGAAGTTGAAATTTATTCTATTATTAATTCTAGCTTCTATTGTTCCTGTCAGTTTTTCCTAAGAATTACAAGGACTTAAAAAAAATTATACTTTCAGTTCTTTGTCTGACAATTAAAGTCTTAAGAAAGATCTGATTATTTTTATCATTTGCCTTTACCTGGCAAGGACTTTTTTATCACCAGCTTTAAGTGAGGAAAATACTGTCAACTTGACCATTTTTTCACCCACTCAGGAATTACGAAACTTGACACAGTAGATTGCACTTCCCATGTTGAAACACTCCTTGCACATATGAGCCCTCCTTTGATATTCTAAATGGGATATTATTGCAAATAATGCTATACAGCCGACAAGAATGTTCATATTGTAGCACAGGAAAACATTGCAAGCTTAATGTTGTATTGAACAGAAAAATCGGTTTGAATATGCTAAGTAAATACTTCAGACTGATGAGAATTGCCCTGGAAATTGAAGGGAGAAAATGATAAGAGGAAGAAGTCTGCACAGCAGCCTTGCTGTGCAACACATCGTTACTCTGCTTATATTTTTGTGAAGTAGTACTATGCCATGTCAAGAATAAGTAATGCAGTTATATTTCTATGAGTTTGAGGAAACCACATAACTCTTGAATTACAAAGTCAAAGCAAAGAGAAGCACATTCTTGTGGAGTGATATAAGATGTAAGCTGATGTGAGACATTAACTTGAAGCTGAAATAGAAGTTTAAATTGCAGGACATGAAAAGCAAATTTAACACTAATTTATTGGGCACTGTTACATTCTGACTTAAGTGTCTGTTTCTTTTTCACAGGTGACTGCTATATACTTAGGTCTCTTAGTTTTATTGACTTCCAACTCAGTAAGATAGTGTTTCACTGAACAGAGAAATGCCTGAATACCTCTAAAATGCTTAGCTTTAGACTTAAAATCTTGTAAATGTTCTTCAGAAATGCTGTTGTAGTTCTGATTTTCAATTATTTTGTGTAGATGAAAATATTTTCAAGTAATTCACTGAACAACTTTGTTTCCATTTTCCTGCTCTGCTGCTTTGCTAATTTTTGTACATTAACAGTCATTTCTTGGTCTTGCAATGTATTTTCAATGATTGCTGAGAACAAAAGAGAGTCAGGACCTAGCATCATCCAGATTTTGATGGAAGAGTAAATTTGTCGATGGCAAAATTTTGATAGATGTGTGTGGACTTAACCAGTTTGATTTTACTTGTACCTGTGTGTGTGCTGGGTATGTGTATGTTGAAAAATGTCTATACCCAATCGTAATATGATTTGGGTTTTTTTTAGCCTTTGAAGAAATGCATTACTCTTTTGTTTATTTAACATTGCTAATGTTATTTGCTTTTTCTTTTTATTATTATAAGACATTTTCACCAGTTTCATTCTGTGAACACCTTGAGACGTTTATATAAAAATTACTAGTGAGTTAATCTATGTGTTATTTTTTGGATTTTTTTTTCCTTCCAAAAAATACTTGAACATTCATAGCTATACTACCTTTTGCCACCTTTCTCCTCCTAAAAGCTCTCTAACTTTATTGTTCTAGTTGTAAAAATATTGTGGAATCTATCCACAATATTAACGTTGTAGTGCTTATTCTTATGGCTGATAGTTCATTAACTTAAAAGAAGTAGTTTGCATTAGTAAGATTTTCATGAATGCTAGTGAAAAAAGTGTATTTAAATGCTTCCCCTTGCTTTCCTTGTAACTTGTTAGAACAGAAACAAATTTGTATTTCCAGAAAAGTGTCCCAGAAATCTATTTGTTGCAGCAGAAGGCTGTGTCCACTGTTTCTAATTATTATGTGTGTATTCACGTTTTAGTGATATTCCACGGATTCCTGAGACTTCTCACCCCCCGTTAGAGTCTAGTGAGTACACGTCTCGTTCCTTTCACTAAGCATGGTCTTGTACACAGCACAATCATTTTGGCTATGAATTTTCTGAAAGATGAGCACTAGGCGACTGCATTGGCTCCAAGGTTTTTGTATAACAGAATTCAATGGATTTTGGTCTTGTGTGTTAAATTCAAAACAATATCGATTTGATTAAAAGCTATACAGGTTTCAAATGTTAGCAGGATTTTATTGTTTTCTTCTATATCATGTGTTGTTAGTACCGTACTGGTATACACGCTGTGGCCCAAAAGAATCATTTACTTGCCCTAACGTAAGAGAGAAAACAAGTATAAGGGATTGCCAAAGGTACAAATGGTGTCAGGATTTCACCTCCTGCACCACCCAGCATAAGTCCAGAGTTCTTGTTTCTGTTTTTCTTAACAAGAAAACATTGGTTAGGTGAACTTTTTGTGTATCGTGCTTCAAAAGAAGGGTTTTCTTTTTAACTATGCTGTATGAATAACGTCAGCTAGAGTGTGTGATGGCCATGGCTCCCAGTCCTTTCTCTTCTGAGCCTTGTCTGAGATGCACCCAGAAACCTTTCCTCAGATAGAGTCCTGTGGGGCCACCAAGTGCTGTTACACCTGTCATGAGCTCATCTCATTAGTGAGGGCTCTGCTTCACTGCTGGAGAACTGCTGATGTCCAGCAGGTGCCGGAGCATCCTCCATGTCAGATGCATGTCCTGTGTACCTTCCTGTGCACCAGATTCTTGGGAATTAAAATTTCAGAGGCTACTAGGAGTATAATCCTAGTGCAAGAGATGTGGGCTTATTCATCAAAGATTTGAGATCATAGAATAGTTTGGGTTGGAAGGGAGATATGTAATCCTGTCAGAAGATAACATTTGATTTAAAACATTTGGTATGGTTTGCCACTACTCTATGAGGAGCACTTTTTTTACTTGTTATTTCAAATAAAACAAAAAATGTCAGGTTCAATCGAGGGAGAGGGTATCCAGACAGTCTTTTTCACCATGCTATCTACATCAGTATGAAATTTTTCTGTATATTAATCCAGTTATACTGTGTATAAATACAAGCTGTATACAATTCAAAGAAAAAGCATTTCATAAGTTATCCAAATTCACTTCAAAATTTTGCATGGAATGTTCATGTGTTTCTCATGTATTTTTAGGTTCAAGTTCTTTTGAATCTCAGAAGATGGAAAGGCCTTCTATTTCTGTTATATCTCCGACCAGCCCTGGAGCCCTAAGGGATGCACCACAAGTCCTACCAGGGCAGCTTTCTGTGAGCATATTTTGTTTTTCCTGAGTTGTTAATGAAAATCTGTGAAGTGCTGGTCCTTCAGCCCTCCACATTCCCAAGGTCTGTTGGGAGGTCAAGAGAAATGTCTGGTGTTGGTAAAGATTAATGTCTTTCAAATGTTTTTTAAGACCCCCCTGTACATACTCACAACCCATCACTGTAATCACAGCAGAGGTAAAGAGTTGTTGTCTTAATACACCAAAGAGTGCAGGAATTTACATGGAGAGGAGCCCATAAAAGTGCCTTGTAACTTGTCGCCCTGTACCCTCTGCACTGAAAATGGTGGCTCTTCTATACATGCCCAGTAATCCACAGATAACAGGCATCGTACCACTTTATCTTCTTCATGGGAGCGTTTAAAGAGCTGTATATCTGTTGAGAGTTACACTGTTCAGTAATGCGTTCTAATTTAGATTACATTACACACTACCTCCTGGAACTGTCTATAATACTAACTGAAGCTATGCTTATTAAATATACTGTGAGTACTTAGACTTTGTTTTGCACATTCTTATATATTTTTATATTGATCATATTAATTTCTAAGTATACAGCAAGCTCAAAAAATTCATGATGTTATGATTCTCTTAAGAAATTATTTAGCTCTATATTTTACTTTTCATAAGAACATCTGCAAGGTGTTCTTGCAGGTGTTCAGATCAGAGAAGATAGATTTCAACTATGCCTCAAGTTTAACTACAGTCAGGGCTTCCTATTTGAATGTAGCTTTCAAGGTGCAGAGCTAAGACATATGCTAGACATATCTGCACTCACACATAGAAGATTATGCAGTGAGTACAATAAACAATGTAAGTATAATCAGGCATCTCCATTTTATTCAGCTGTGGTAAATACAAAAGTCTTTGATATATACCATTGTCTTTTCCATCTAACTTAATATTTAAGGAATTTGAAACAAAATATATCTCATTGTAAAAGTAACCATTGTTTTTTCCAAGAGACATTGTGGTTAATGTGATGCAGTCTGAAAATTCTTCATTTTCAGTTTTTTCTCCATTTTCATTACTGTTTTTTGGTAACTTGATTCTTCTAGGTTAAACTGTGGTATGACAAAGTGGGACATCAGTTAATAGTAAATGTTCTGCAAGCAACAGATTTGCCACCAAGAGTAGATGGACGCCCCAGGAATCCCTATGTAAAAATGTATTTTCTTCCAGACAGAAGGTAGTAATATTTCAGTTTAGAAAATTATGTTGTAATTTACCTCGTATTGAAGCAACTTTTAAATGAATGCTTATGAAGTAAAGAATTGTCTTTAATAATTTCTTATAGTTAGATTAATTATAACAAAAAACTGTTCTTGAATCATGCAAGTCAGTCAAATTAGCTGTGTGGACTTTTGGATGAACATGATCCATTGTAGAGCAAATACTTCTCTCTTTTAGGCATTATCAGATCAGAAAGAATTAAAACAGTGAGTGCTGATGAGTAGATGGCATTTTGTGATTTATCTCTACGAACAATTTACAACAAATATTTATGTTTCAGTGATAAAAGTAAAAGGAGGACCAAAACAGTAAAGAAAAGTCTAGAGCCAAAATGGAACCAAACTTTTCTCTACTCACATGTACATCGTAGAGATTTTAGAGAACGAATGCTTGAAATAACCGTATGGGATCAGCCAAGAGTACAAGAAGAGGAGAGTGAATTTCTTGGAGAGGTGATACATACAATCACATTTCTCCTGAGTTCGTTGTTTGGTTTTGAATACATATGCATATTTATTTTATATATCTGTTTGTGTGTTTGTGCCTTGAAAGTAAAATTAAAACTTAATAAATTTTCTACTAGATTCTTATAGAGCTGGAGACAGCACTTTTAGATGATGAACCACATTGGTATAAGCTACAGACACATGATGAATCTTCACTACCTCTGCCTCAGCCATCACCTTTCATGCCAAGAAGACATGTTCATGGTGGAGAAAGCACTAGCAAAAAATTACAAAGTAGGTCCAAATTCCATTCATCTCTATTAAATTTTAAATTAGAAATGCTGGATATGGTGTAATGGTATTTAACTTTCATATACAACATAAAAATACTATTTCATAGTCTTTAAACATAATTAAAATGTGTGGCAGAAAAAAGATACAAATTATGACATGCCTTTCATCTGTGATGAAGTATGTGAAACCTGTTGGAATTGGTTTGGTTTTCACTAGCAAAATAAAATTGTTCAAACATTTGTTTGCAATAATTTCCTTTTAAATAGAAAGATGAAGTTCATCATTGTTGGATACTTTTTTTAATAATTAAAAGCTTTTGACTTAAAAAAAGAAAATCCTTAAAGGCTGATGAGGCTTAAAAACACTTTTCATCATCAGGTTAGTCTCAATCTCCAATATGCTCATTATACAATCAGATGAGAACTGTGCTTTTGCAGCAAAAAGAATTTGGATGCTTCTATTTGGGAGGTACAGTTGTTTTGATGAGTCTGATTTCAGGTTTGTTTATGACATCAAAATAATGAATGTACTGAAATATTTGAATATTGTAGCTTCTCAGTTCATTTAAATTAAGATTTATATAGAAATAAGAAGGACATAGGGGATTATTTTAAAATAAATTTCCAAGCTATTTTTGTTTTTTCTTAAACGTGGAAGCCATTCGTTCCAGCCAATGCATAGGGAACTGGTGCACATTCAGGATTGAATTATAAAAATGTGATGCTGCAGTAATTGCTGCAGGAGGATATGTATAGAACGAGCAAATTAAAGGTTAGTTTTCATGAGATATTTGAACTTTTCTAAAAGCTGGCAGTGCTGTTTCCTCTTCCCCTCTCACCATATGCTGCCACCTCTCCTTTCCTGTTCAGCAAGCTGATTCAGCTTACTCACTGAAATAGCACAAAAGTATTTTTTTCCTTTATTTGAGTTAACTTTTTGCTGGTTTAGTGAGATAAACTATTCTAGTAGAGGCTTAGTGAGGACTTGAGGGAAGCAGAAGGGGAAAGGAGGCTGCAGCAGCTGTAAGATGTTAAATTTGCTCAGCTATTTTGTGAAACGTCACTGTCGGTCACTGCAGTTTAGTTCTCCTCCTCTATTGTTTGGATTTAAATAATCTTTTAAATTTCAGTAGTATGTTAAATGAACAGATTTTTACATTTTATAACACGACTAGATGTTCAGGTATTTGTTTACCTTACTGTTGTGCAGGATCTCGGCCAATCAGTGATAGTGACATCTCAGATTATGATGTTGATGATGGTATTGGAGTTGTTCCTCCAGGTGCGTGGGTGAACAGCATGGTCCTGCTTTCTTCTTCTTCTTCTTCTTGTTTGCTTGTTTGGGGTTTTTTTGTTTTTTTTTTCTTTATAACATTTTGGAATATTGAGGATACTGGTTTTGGAGAGTGCATTGTGAAAAAAACAGTTTTCCTGATTATTCCTGTCTTAAATCTGGTGAATTAAAAGATTCTACTATTCATTCATTTGTATTTCTTTTACGTATCATTCTTCATATGTGAACCACCAGATGGTTCAAATTGTTTGTTTCCCTCATAATGTTCCAACCATTATTTAAAATATAAATTAAATTAAAAAAATAATATTAAAACAATAATTGAAATTTCAGTGTTTACTGCAAATATTTTTTTTAATTTGCTTTTTGCTTGAAATTTAGAAATAATGCAGTCTCCCATGGAATTTCTTGAGAATGCATGGCTGTAGATTAAGATGCATGTAGCATGGCTATATCTTTTATAGTTTTCATAAGCCTTCATTACCCTAAATGTTCATAAATATATATTTGTAGAGACTGTCTTGGTTTGACTTTTAGTTCAGCTTTCCTTACATACTGAAAATCTTGAGGATCATTCTGGATACCACATTTTTCTACTTCTATTTGCCTGTTGCCAGAAGTCAGATGAATATATTTCCAATTGTCCCAAACGAACTGAAGAGTCAGTATGTCATTGCCAGCACTAAATCAGTTTTTGTGTGGATCTTCCTGATGAAAATCACTGAATTAAATCATGGTGGAATTTGGAAAGCTCTCTATCTCCCTGATCTGTGTTTAAAATTATATGACTATTCATTATATAACCTTACAAATAAATGACTTATTTTATTAACGCAATATTATTTTGATGTTTACTGAGCCAAATAGTCCTTCTAGGCAAATTCCTTCCGTTGATGTTGGTAGGGTTCTTTCCTTGCGTTAATACACTTATCACCTGAGTTACTAAGAGGGAAATTTGTTCAGGTATACCTAGTAATGATATTTGCTTTAATGAAGAGATTAATGTTGATATTTTTACATCATTTGAGAGAGTGAACATTTAAAATTAATCATAGGTTCTAAATATTTTTAATGTTTTCATATATTTAATATATTTTTTTTTTTTAGTTGGCAATGTAGATACTGGCATACCTCTGTAGATTTACGTACGTTTAAGGTTTCAGTATACTGTATTAAGAATTGGGGCTTTTTTTCAGCTGCCAATTCTTAAAGGCATCCATTTGCCATCTGAAATAAACCATTTTCCATCTGACAGGAAATGTTCAAAAATGCTCCCAGTCTCTTAATTATCTTTATGATCCTGAGCTGGACTCACACCAGTAACTCCATGTCTGTCTTGTACTGGGAGCCCCGTACTCCAGATGTGGCCTCTCCAATGCTAAGTATTTAGGAAGGGTCAGTAAAGGATTTAATAAAAACTGAACATGTTTTGAGGCCTATCTTTTTAACCAAAACTTGAGTAACTTTCTTGTTAATTAAAAAGAAAAAAAGCTGATAGACAGTTGGCAATATCCTAAAGGATATTTTTAATGAGCTGTATTGCTTATGCTATGGGTAACTCTTCAGAACGATTTCTTTTTCTGTCATATGTGATCTGTATAATTATTGCATTGTACTTACTTTCCTCCTGTAGCAGCAGGGTGACATCAACAGAACACCTTGTCATCGTCTGTATTTTCTTTAAAAAAAAAAAAAAGAGTTCTGGTATCAAACATTTTCTAGAACCATTTTCATCATCCATCCAGCGTCCATGTTATGTCACACCTGACAGTTTCCCATGAGCAACTGAGAAACTTCTTCTGCATAAACTACCATAAGCTTGATTGCTGCTATCATGCTGGTCCATGCAAAAAAATTCTCTGCTCACTCTGGAGAGCACAGAGCCTTTGTATTTGAGGATACGAGGAAATGTTACTGCTGCTGTCACTGTCGTAGTCACTATGGAAGTATGGATATGATTTGACCAACTTGACAATACTTGAGCTAACACTTATGGTAGAATTTATTTACTATTGCTCTGTCTGTTCTGTAAGCTTTGTGCATGCACAATGCACAAGTTTCAGATATTGTTCCCTGGATAGCTTGGCTCTGAAGAATATGTATAATAAAATCATCTTTCTATACCAGATTTTTAAGTGTACAGGATAATCCTAGGTGTATATTTTTAGGCAAACTAGAGATGCTCTATAAAAATAGTTTAAATTGAAATTTATATTTAATTATTTTAATTTATATGTATTTCAGTACAGGTGCCTAAAGCTTGGAAAGGAATTTTGGATTTCTTTGATTTGAGAGTTGAATAAGTGTAAACTAGTGTTCCTTCTGATAGAGATGTCAGGATTTTATCTAAAACAAGCTTGTTTGGAAAATGAAATATTTTTTAGCACATACAGCTTAGATTTAGTTATCCTGGGAAAAGGAAGACATTCAGCTTTTGTCATGTGTAGTCTTTTTTCTTCCTCTGACAAAAACCCGACATTTTCTGCAGCAATCTTAGGACATGAGATGATGGAATCTCCATTGAAGTCCTGTGGCAGTCCCTTTTTTGCTTCAAAATTTGCACCCAAATTTGCACCCTGAGATCAGGGAGATCATGTTTCTTTCTAATTCTATTACACAACTCTGAAACACTTTTTTGCAAGGTACTCCAGCGTCACAGTACGCCAAAACCTGTGAAACATTGAAGTCCTCCTTTGTTAAAAGGTTGATAAACCTCAGTAGATACTTTCATGTATGCTATCAACTTCTACAGGCCTATTTTGCAGACAGTACTCAGTACAGCTTTGCTATTAAAAATGCCCTCTAAGTGGCAAGCATTTTCTGGTTTCGTAGCTACTAGTGACCTCTCTTTTGTGGCTACAAAAGAGCTCTCCCAAAAATTTTTTCTCCATGTTTTCTCTGGTTTTCAAACAATAGCCCACACCCTCCCCAAGCTTGAATAATGTCACATTTTAAGTATTAAATTATGTTCATTATTTTTATTTGACGTATCTAACAGTCTGTTTGAGAACAGCACACACATGCACTCAACGTTACGGTCCTTGATGTTTGTTTCTGAGCTACATGATACGTTCTTATTACAAGTGCTTTTCTTTGGCCCAGTCCTACCCTCTAAGATCTATCAATACTCGTAATGCTTCTTGTTTCCCTGATTTATTAACCTCATCGCACTCCTCTGCTTCAACAAATAGAAGAAAAAAAATTGCTTCCCATATTCTCACACTAGACGCTATGCTATGAAGTAGAAGACACAAAAGTTGGACAAAATGATAGATGAACTTACAAAGGTCTTTCTGCATATATTTTCTAGCTGACAGTAACCAGAAAGTCTGCAGTAAAACTGTCTAATCATTGTTTTGTCAACATTGTCTCCTTCCTATCTGTTTTCCCTATCGTATTTGTAATGGTAAATGTATTAAAGACAACAAGAACTTATTGAAGCGAATCTTTTTTTATTTACTGAAGTTGCTGCAAAGCTGGTTTAAGGCTGGAAGCTACTGCAGGATACTACAGCACCAAGGCGCTCTTCTGTTATCTTTGGATAACTTTCGCTAGTTTGTTCAATACTGTATAAAAAGTGGACACAGTTCTGGAGGCTGTGATATTATAAACTGCATAAACAGGGAAAAGAGTCTTAGAGTTCCTTGGATGATAAAATGCATCACCTAGTAGGTCTCTGTTCTCAGTTTTGTGTTACTAAGATCAGTCTGTTCTATGGTGGAAGATACCCTTATTTTAGGATTATTTACCGCTCTTTAACAAAGTGTTTTTCTCCAGTTCTAATAACAAGATAATGCATTCAGATAAGTTACATGTCCATTAGAATACATTGGTAAACTGATGCATAATTTGGGAAAAAAAACATGGATGCTTCCTTGATGTTTGTGATCAGGGTTCAACCTTGCAACTAAACAGATTATTAAGTGTCACTGAATACATGACCAAGCCTAATACAGAGTCTGTCTATGGGCCATACTTTTAAGAGGGCTATAACAATTTGCTAGAAGAACTACAAGAATTATACAAAATATGAAAAAATACAGGTTGAAACTCTGTAACAAGATCCTTAAAAAGTGTAACTTATTTATTGTATTCAGTTGGTGATTGACTAAATCATAGTCTTTTCCTGCACGGGAAGAAGATTTCTTATACAGGCTGTTTTTTGAGCTGAACAAAATAACATATTACAGGAACTTAATGCTAGACAAATTCAGAGAAGCAGCAAAATGATTATTTTGGAATCTAAACAGTAATTTGTGAAGTCGTTTAGGGACGACTTAAGGGATGACCCTTTCCATCACTTAAGAGATTTTCGGTCAAAGGATTCTTTTAGTCTGATTTAAATATCTAGAAGTGAGCAACTGAAGTCTGAGCAAATTTCCTTAGGCTCTTTTGGAAAGATAACAGGCACCTTTTGAAAGCTTCTTGCTGAGCTTCAATATCTGTTTTAAGATGGGATTCAAAGTGTGTATCAAGGCAAACAGTGTACTACATGGCAAAAGGCACAGGAATATCAATGCTTTTAAAGGTACTAACATTCTGCCAATTTTTTTTGAAATTCCATGTAAAAATGAGGTACGAGAAACTTTGCAGCTCATTCATAGTATTCGGAAAGAATGTTTTGCAGTGTGCAACACCCAATATTCTATACAACATATTCTAAATGCTTGTAATTTTTGAAAGTAGGTAGCTTTGTCCAAGTTCAGTAGGAGAACATCTTTGTATTTAGCTGAAACAAGAGTCAGAAGGATGATTTATGTATGAGCAGTCCTGGATGAATCTGTGCTGTCGTATACAAGCATGCCTTCTCCATTTGTTAGATGAGGTAAACATACATTGCTTGGATTCCTTTCTGATATTTGAAGTACAAGATCGTCTGGGTACTCTTCCCCAAGTCAGAAAACTATTTCAGTCCTTTCCTCCACATCTTCCAGTACGTAATGAAAATCATCTCCGTTTCTCTGTGTCTGTACATGTAGACATTTAAAGGTAATGCTAGTAATTTATCCTGGCTGCATGATACAGCGGGATGTACAATAGCTGAATGATGACTTGAAGTTTGTGTATTCCTGGAAGGACTAACCATTTCAGTTCTTTCCAAACTCAGACTTTTGTTCTCTAATTTCCTTTTGTTGCCCTCTTGCCAGTAGGTTATAGATCTAGTACTAGAGAAAGTAAATCTACAACGCTAACTGTGCCAGAACAGCAAAGAACAACACATCATCGTTCACGATCTGTATCTCCTCACCGTGGCGACGATCAGGGCAGGACCCGTTCACGTTTACCAAATGTGCCATTACAGAGGTAGGCATCACAAGTTACTGAAACACTGGGTGGTGTCAAGTTTCTATAATCTGTCATTATTAACTTTTCTCTTGTTCAGCAATTTTTTGTGATTTTAAGACTTTTTTTGTATCTGAATTTAATAGTGTAGTATTTGAACTTAATGTATGATTTTATTAATCATTTAAGAGCACTCATGGGATGAATCGTAACTTTGCAAGACTTACCTCTTCTTACTGATATTTTCTCTGTGATTCATCATCTGTGTACCATAACTAATACACAGGTTTGGAAATGTTTTTTCAGTTGGTGGCTGAATCTTGTATGAAGCCACTTAAGTATATTTGTAGGATAATAAATAATGGCACGTAAAAATTGTATAAGAACTATTTTTGAAGTAAAAGCAAGCTGAAATTACCAATTGTATTTATAAAGTGACATTTTAAATGGAAGAAGTAAAAAATACTTTACAGCATCAGATAGATAGCAAGTTATAAACGTCCATTTTCTGCATTTACTGCTTTTCATAGACAACCTATTAAGAGGAAAATCCTTTCTGAGCTTTTCCTTTGCATGCTTTATGCTTTTTTTGAATAGTGCCATTCAGACTGTTTAAGCACAAAACTTGACCCACTTGATTTTGCTTGTTTTATTATGCAGGGCAATAAACTTCTCTTGCAACCTTTCATGGAACCCTAAAAATCAGCCAATTTTTACCAGTTTTCCTTTCCTCCAATTTCTAGGAAGCTTTGTTCTTGAATTACTGCAAGAATTGCAGTAGCAATATTATTGCCCACTAGCTGTGGTAGTTTACTGAAAATCTACCCTACTTAGCTGAAGTTTGTATACAAAATTTTGTGCTACAGTACTGTCCTGAACCATCATTTCTGTGTCTGTTTTTTTGGAGTTCCATCACTGGTCATTTAATACCAGACATCTGTGATGTTTCAAAATGATGGTATATTCTGGAAAAACAGCTTCCCTCAGTTGAGATCTTGCTTCTGCCTTTCCATCCTCCATATATACTGTTCTTGTGCATTGAAATTTTGTGTGTTTTTTAAGTCACTGCGTGCATCCCCCTGTTACATCAGTTCTTACAGATGAAGATATTTCACTACCCACTAAATCACTTGCTGTTGCATCCTTAACAGATAGAAGAGTACATAAAATAGACTGTGGCACTGTCTCATTTTTTTTATAGCAGAGAATGAGAGCTCCTCATTCTGCTTTTGCAAACAATTATATATGCTCTTGTATCTTTCTATCTACAAGCATGAGACACACATGAAATATTTCATAGTCAATTCCACCCATTCCTTCATTTTATACTTTGAAAAACTAATGCTTCTTGTTCCAATGGCAGTTATTAACCTAAAGGAAGAATTTGCCCTTCACATAGTAGTTTCTTTTCTTGTTCTTTTCTCTGTGAAGAGAGCTTTAAATTACTGTCACGGAGGCCAGAGCCTACCTGCATTTATACAAAATCGTACCCCTTTTGTATAACACTTGTGTATAACACTTAGTTTGAGATTGATAAAAACTGCTGCAAGTTCTCATATCATATCTCAGAATTTCTTAAAGAATACCTGGAGATACCTGGAAAAAGTTGGCAGCCAAAAATCAGCCCTTTAGAAATCTGGCTATGAATCCACAAATGCATAAAACTTAATTTCATGTGAGGTATTATCAATTCTTGTGTTATCTCAGTTATTCTTTAAGTACTTTGAAAATGCCAGTACTGAATCCATCAGTGTATACAGAAACAGGCATGTACTTCTAAATATGGTAGCAATGGCTGCTTAGTGGTGGTTTTTTTAGTCTTTATAGATTAAAAAATCTTTAATCTTTTTAATCTATTAAAAATAAGATTTTTAATCTTTAATCTTTTTTAATATTGGAATCGATATTTTTTTAGAAGTCATGTACTAACAAATTAATGATTAAAGACCTCCTTCAGCCAACTCTTACTGTAGTCCATTAAGCTGTGTTATTTGTGAGAAAACAAGATTATCATACACATTTCTGCCTTTCAGGAGTTTAGATGAAATTCATCAAATGAGAAGATCACGATCTCCAACTAGACACCATGATGCCTCCAGAACTCCAGTTGATTACAGATCCAGAGACATGGATAGTCAGTATTTGTCTGATCAAGAAAGGTACATTGTCAGCCTGAACTTGGAAACAAATTTAGAAATGTCTTTGTTGGTTTGCCTAATTTTCAAGTATTCAGTAGAAACATGACTGATAGTAATGGGGAAGGGAGAGAAATCATCCTAACTGACAAGTCTAGTGCCATGTTTAAATTATCTATGCCTCTTTTTTTGGTAAAATTCTGCTCTGGGCTGACAGTAATAGCAGGTATCTAGACTAATGGTTCTTGGGTGTTTGTCCTAGAGTATTCTGCTGTTTGTTTCATGAATGAAGCCCAGAGATTTTTGTTAGAAAAACATAAATCTACATGTATGCTGTAGCTATTCTTGTAACTCAGAATTTTTCTGTTTTGGTACCCAGCAAAATACCAGGCATGCCTTTTTACTACTTGGGAGTTGCATATGCTATTATTTGCATTCCTGTGCTTAATAGATTTTGGACATCTATATATGCAGTCTCACAGCATCTTATATAACATTCTGGTGAGCCTGGTACAGTACCCAAGCATAGCAAGGATACAGGTGCTTGTAGATAACAAAGTTCTCCAGTCATAGGTGCATGACGTGTACACATCTCTCTCTGGAATACATGCAGTGGCTACACTCCTCAGAGAATGCTTGGCCTCTCCTAGTAGATATTTTCAGCTATCTAGGATTATCTTCTAATAAAGTGGAAGAAAATGAGAATATCTATTTAGTTCATAGCTGAAAAAAGTTTAAAAAAGGATTTTAGTTTAGTATTTGGGAAACATAATGATGACAGTCACATAGATTACCAGTGTTTGTGGGTTGTTTGTTTACTTTGGGAAAAAAATCATATAGCTAAACTATAATGGCAAACTTTTACCATTCATGTACAATCAAATGTCCTAGTAATGTCTTTGGATTATTTTTTTTGGCAGCAAATTACTACTATTTATGAGTAAGGGTGAAAAAACCTTTCCAAATGATCCAGTAAATCCAATACAAAAATACATTCCATAGTGATGTGAAAACGTTTAAGGAATAAACCATAAAAATCTCTGGAACTTTGTCCAATTTTGAAGCAACATAGAAATTGAATAACAGATGGCTTTTACAGTTAAACTAGTTCAGTTTTGTATATGATCTTGCCTGTTTCGCTTTTTTAATGTGATAACATACGTATGGGAATTAATGAGTTATTTGGAACATTTTTAAATTCCATCTTATAGGCAAGAAGTATGTACAGAATTGTCTAAGTTGCATTGTACTGAATTTCCTTCAAGAGGTGAATTGAAATGCTTTTTGAATATAGTGTTCAGATCTAGTTAAGCTAATTCAAGTAATTTCCACTTGTTGCAAATGTTTCATGTTATTATTTATTATAAATAGTGATATATTGAAAAGATTCCTGAAAATATTCATTGAATAGGTTACTTATTCAGCAGATCTGAAGAGGAAGAAACATGAAAAAGTAGCTTTTGTCAGTAGAAATAAATATAGGTAATAGTTAACTGTCTAGAAAATTTTCTTCCAGTAAAGCCTCAAACCATGATATAAACGATGATATATGCATGGATTATGCTTGGAGAGCAGGGCTTGCATTGAAGCTTGCTTGGACATGAGCTGTCAGACCAGAGCCGCAGCAGCAATGGGCTGCTGGATTTGTTCAGAGGAGTAAAACACATTCTTCAGTTCTTTTCAGTGTTCAGAAAAAGTGTTTCAGAAGTATAAAGATCAGACATGAAGGATGTACAGGGCTTATTTGCAGGATTTAAAGATGAGTCCATGTACTTACTCTCCTTGAGTAATGATGTCTGCAGTGGTCTCCTTTTTTTTCATTTTCCTTTTCATGTTTCCCCTGGATTCTTCAGTTGTGGAGACTGTATAACTCGTACAGGTTTTATTGTCTTTTAGTACATAAAAGCAGCATCATAGGGAAGATCAACACCAGCTTTTGTTGAGATTCTCTGTCACATCCAAGATTTAAAAAAAAATATTTTTTCAGTATTGTGTAATAGTATCAATAGTAGTATAATAGTTATCTGCTTTTCATTTACTGAACCCATCATCTAAACAAGTACATTCATGTGGCTACCTAACATAAACTTGGTTTGAAAGGTGAGTAATTGCACGATAGTTATATGGCAGAAATTGCAATTGCTGATTATCTTTCATCATTTTTCAAAGATCTGTTATTGGTCCCATATTAATATTGAATATTTTGAATAGATCTTTGTAAAATAGTTATCATAGTCTCTTACTAAAGTATCCAGTGTCATAAATTTCCAGTGGAACTGATTTGTCCACTTTACTTTTTTAATATATATTTATTCACATATATACACACGGGTATGTGTGTATATACATAAATCTATTAGGAAAAGCTTTTTATTAGGAAATCTAGCTAAGCAGTATACTTTGCTCTGAATTTAGGATCATCATCCTATTTTCAAGGACATGGTCCTTATAATTTTTTTTTAGTGTTTCTTTTATTCCTACAGAAAATCTGTTAATGTGAGTAGTAGAAAACACTTGTTTTAGAATAACAATCTTTATTTTAAATGTCTCCAAACCAGTCTTAATTTATTATGCAACTGTGAGTATCTTCTTACATTATCGATAATCTACTGTGATAGATTCTTTTGCATTGTTTTTTTAACTAGAAGATTTCATGGTGGATTTGCTATTTTATATCCCCTTTCTGGATTAGTTTTATATTACTGTTTGCTGTGGGCCAATTACAATAGATACTCTCTTGCTTAGTAAATGTAGAGCTAATATTAACGAAGTACTCTATGATTTAATGTGGACTTTGCATCTACTTCACAACTCTTAAGAAAATGGTAACTTTTTTCCTAAAATGCGTATTTTTCTGTAATTTGGAAACCTGCATATAAATTCTGTCAGTCCTACGAGCTCATGAATGGAAGTTTTGCTTAAAAAAAAAAAACAATTCAGTTCACCTTTAATACATTTTGTTGCATCAAAATCAGGCTAGTGGTTCCAGATGCAAAGTTAAATCTCACACATGACTCACAAGCCATTATTTCAAGCTGCCCAGTTCAGAGATTTAGATAAATATTACCTATACTGCATCAATTAAATGGGTCGTATTATAATGGCATGAAGCACAAAACATAATGAACAACTGCTGCTTTATCTATTTTTTAATCTTTTCTCTCTTTGTCACCATAGTACTTCATATGATTCCCTGCTTCTTTTAAAATAGCATGTTTCCATGAAGTTTAGCTTTAATTTCATATTTACGAAAATTAGGAGGTTTGGAGCTTGGTCTTTCTGATTCTGTTGAAGTGTATAAAACTACAAGATTAATTCAAGGGATATTTCATATCATAGTCATATTTACCATAGGCATAAATATGTATTAATTATACCATCTTGACAGCTGTAGTATGTGTTTGGTTACAGTAAATGAAAAATAGAATAGATGGCTGATTTTCTGAATTGGAAACAGGGAGAAACAAAAAGTCTAATGGTCAATTAGCAATTTTTTTTTTCTTTGGGATTGCATTACAAAATACTGTCAAGAGCTATGAGTCAGAATTTGTATTTGTCCAAATGTAATTATTTCCAGTGAATGTAGAATCATAGAATCTTTGGGTTGGAAGGGGCCTTTAAAGGTCATCTAGTCCAAGACCCGTGCAATGAGCAGGGACTTCTTCAATTAGATGAGGTTTCTCAGAGCCCCATCCAACCTTACCTTGAATGTTTCCAGCATATATTTTTGTTTTCCTGAAGGGGTGACCAATTACTCTTCCCCTAAACTGATTTGCAGTAAATTATTAGCAAACCCTCCCTGCTTTTTCATGTATGTTTTTGTGGTTTAGGAAGAAAGAAAAAACCAAACAACCACCATAAATCTTTTTTTTTCTAAAGTATTTCTTCATTAATTGGTTTATGAGAAAGGAGGTTATTAGAGAAATGTAGCTGTTTTATGGATTCCTTTTGTCATGAAGAGCTCTGAAACAGTACTGAATTTCAAAAAGGAGAAATCCCACAAAACTAGATGCCATGCTAAAAGGAATTTGTTGTAAATGTAGATATCACACGCATTTTTTGGCTCACAGGCATTCTTTGAGTAGTGCAGTCTGGGTTTGAACATTATCAGACTATCTATCTGGGTGGAAGCTTCTTGTTTCTTTTTATGTTTTCATTTGCATATCATTGGCATAACTCATGTCATCTAATGCTTCATAATTATATCTGTTTCACTCACCACCCATCCTGTCTGTGCAGTGAGCTTCTTATGCTGCCCAGAGCAAAACGAGGAAGAAGTGCAGAGTGCCTACATACCATCAGGTAAATACAGGAATTTGGTAATCATGAACACATCTGGGTTAGTTGTCTATACTTTGTGTGCCCGACTTTTTTCCATAGTGGCATTTAGTCCCAGTAAGTAAAGAACTTCCTAGTACATTGTGATTCAGGTGTCAGTTGTTCTTTTTTGTTTGTTTTAATTCAGATAGAAAACGTGTATATATGTTTGTGAACCTCAGTGGTAAGGATTAAAGCAGTTGAAGAAATTATGATTTTGCAGTTGTATTTTGTGGTAGAGTTTCTGTCTAGTCACAGAAGTCCCGATCTCCCAATGCATGACAGTGTTGTTATAATTTCAAACGTTCCTTTTTAGTTGTTTTTATATTTTCTTTAATTTGCGGTTTTATGTTTATATTACAACCATGCGCAAGCCAACAATCTTTACTTGTTGTGACATCTAATCTCATGCTGATGAGGGCTCACTGGGAACCCCAGATCTGAGGGTTCTCATATTACTTATTTCTTCATCTACAAATTGTGCTGTAAATTGGATCCAGGCATAAACTTTGTCGTTCGGGTTTGTCTCCAGTTTTCATTAATCTCACTTTCCACAGCTTGGAGCTCCCTGTCTAAATCCTTCCCAGTGTTGTGAAACTAAATGAGACTAAAATATCTAACAAATCTAACTCTGCCCCCCGTCCCCTTTTTTTTTGCCATGTCTGCTAACCTTGTTAAAAATACATGTCAGATTGTGTAGAAAATCTTCCAGTTAGAATCAATAAAAATGTAGGTTGAAGTTGAAGTAGTTAACCATTTTTCTGTTCGGGATCTGGATGTTGCTAAGAGTTTTATGTCGGTGGTGTATGTTTAAAGCCATCAAACTTTTAAAACCAAGTTGTCTAATGTACTTATTCATTTACTTGGTGTAGGATTTTCCCATCCAGAGCAGGGTTTTTTAATATGCCTTGGGTTGCTTTAATTCTCTTCATCTAAATTGAAACAGCATTGAAGATGCTGTGATAGGATTCTATTACAAGGTATAAAGGTAAAATAATAAATAAAAAAAAATCCCCCCCAAAATATGTGCATCAGTGAAGCTGTGAAATTAAAATTTGAGTTTTCATTATCAGTAGAAAGAATTTTATTCTCATACTTCAGCTAAAAAAGCTTTTTCCTCAACATTTTAGGTTTTAAAGGTTAATAATCTGTTTCACTCCCTGTTATTTTATGTCAGTTTATTGTCATGTAATAGCAATTTTTCCTGCCTCCTTCCTGTGGCCTTTCTCTTTCTGCTGTATCGTCTATATCTTCACCCCGCTCCTTGCCCCAGCTCTATGCTTTTCCTTTCCCTCTTAAAGATTATATTTTTCATTAGAATTCTACAGTGCCAATGCTTAAATTCTCACTTAATTCATGAAGTAAATATTGTATCACGAACTTCTGATGCACTTTGCCCATCCACGATAGATTTCCAATAGTTTTACAAGTCTACTAAAGAGTCTGGTCAGTTAACCAGCTAAAAATTTTGCATGAGCAGCAATAGAGTTAGGCAAGAGCTACACTGAATTCAGAGATTCAGGCCTTTTTTTGCCTTTTTCCTTATTCTAATTATTACTGTTATTTTTTTTATGATCAAGAAAATTAACAAATTCACCCCTTTAAATTAACAGTAATGGTATACTGTAAAAAAAAAGGGTACTTTTAATAACATATTGAAGGTCATTTTAAATTTAACTCTGAGGCTTATGCAGCCTAATCCAAGTTTGAATAATACCAAGAAAATTGCCAATATCCATTCCTTGACTGAATAGTCTCAAAAATCCTTTTACCAAAAATTCAGTCTCGCATTGGTTGCCATCTTTTGTCCTTTCTCATTTGTAGTGGCCTGACATTTATTCATGTTAGAAACGTTATAAGGCTTTTTCCTTGTTTTCTAGGCAGCTTGCAGAATAAAGTTTTAGTTAATTGTTGAGACAGCTTCAGCTTAAAATGGGAAAGAAATGTTAATTGTTTAATGTTAAATGAAAGAAATATTAATATGAGATAGGCCAAGCTGCAAAGTTAAGATATATGGTTACTTTAATACAGCTGTTTAGAATAATACGAGTCCTAGCTGTCCATCATGTCCATCTGTATGCAATTCTTGACTAATAGCAGAAATGGTGGAAGGACATGTGTACCTATGCCATAGACCATGGGTGGTCACAGTCCATGTCTTGGATCTCACCCACTTTGGTTGGTAATATCTGTCAGTTTGCCAGGATTGACCTGAGGGACAACCATTCCTTTATCCCAACTTTGCAACGTCACAGTGACCTCTAGTAGAGATGTCAGCAGTGATGACTGCTCAACCTGTACAAGAAGGGTCAAAGCTCCTCTGTTAAGTCCCTCAGGGTTTATCAACACTAGGATTTCCAGGCAAAGAGGTGTTTCATCTGTCTGTGACACAACCAAGTCTGTAATGTTGATCTGCCGTGCCTAGGTCTAAGCCTTAATAGGAATCAAAATGTCCTATTTGGGACAGACTGTTCTTGAAGCTGCAAAATCCTCAAGGCTGCTGATCCTTCTACTAATAGCACCACAGCTGTGTCCTGGTAGAGTATGTGGAAAACTGTTAGAACTTTGTTATTAACCCTTAACCATTAAATGGCCATGATTCCCATTCAGCAGCTACTGTCTGCCTTTAAATTTCTCCCTTGTTCATTGGGTAGAGCTGGATAATAAAGCAAACATTTCCTGTTCTAAAATCTCATTTACTGTAAGTGATGATATTGGACAGTTGTCATATACTATCTCAGAGTGCTGCTGTGCTGGCTAATGTAGTAGATCTAATTTTTTTAATTAGCTTATTATTAATAGAATTTAATTACTGTTAGATTTTGAAGCTAATACACCACTTCAAAAAGACTTCCACATTCAAAAATGCCAGATGCTAATACATCTACCATTGAGTTTTTGACACTATATATCACTGTTTTAGCAAGCTTTTCATGCTGAGCTACTGAAGAGGATAAAGTCTATGACATCTAAAGGCATTACTAAGAGAAATAAACTGCAAGTTTAATAACAACCTAATCTTTTACAACAGCTTGTATATTTTAATAAAAATCTCTAAAAATGGAATTTAGATTACTTTCATTACAATGAAAAAAAATCTGAGCCATAATAGTATTGTCATGTGCTCACGGACTGTGTTAACAGAAGTGGATATACAAGAATTTGTCCCCCAGATAGCTGTCACAGTAGTTGAGTTGAGAAAACATGTACTGAGAAATCTACTCGTACAGCTATTAAATGTAGTAGAACATTATGTGTTTATTTTGCATTCTGGTCAGTCTTGCCTTACCTTTACCTGTCTTTTTATTTCTGGCATGTTTTTTTGTTGTTCTATTTTCTTTTCTGTTCTACCACGTTCAAGAAGTTCTGTTAGGCACTATAAAACATTACCACCCAAGATGCCTTTACTAGAAAATGGTAGTCATTGGAACCTATACAGGTAAGAGATGTTTAGAGTCCGCTTTAAGTAGTTAGTTCCTTTTTAAAAAATAGATAGTCTTGTCTTGTTAAATAAAAATATAAAATATTTCATACAGTTTTTATAACTGAGAGATAAGGGGTACAATCTTAAAATAATTTTATATAACTGTCTAAATTAACCCTTACACTATAAAAAAAAACCCCAAAACACCAAACCACTTGGTATTAGGTGGAGTTTTTTTCACTCTTGAAATTATGTGTGACATCTTTTTCTTTGTTACATTCCTTTGTTTATTTATTTGGTTTTGGTTACATGTCATTTATTTTCATTTTGTTTAAATAATTTTAATTCACAAAGCACAACTCTTCCTGCATGTGCTAAGACCAAATCAGTGATTAGACAGGATATTTCACTCCTTCGTGATTGCCTTAATTCACAAATACCGAAATTTGGAGATGACCTACTGGCTAGGTAAGAAACTGAGGATTAATTTCCCGCTCCTGTTTGGAATCTCATATGGATTTGCAAAATAAATGAGCTTCACTGTAAAGTGATTTCACATAATATGTAATGTATCACATCCTTTTATGTTGACCTAAGATTTACTGCTGTTGATAAGGATTTAAATTTATTATTTGGTATTTCTCATTTCACTTTCTTGCCAAGTGGATGTTGTTCTGTCTCATTCAGTTTTAAACATTTCAACAGTCTTAGCAAAAAAATTCTAGCAGTCTTTTATTTGCTTTTATTTTCTAAACAAATCTTGGCACTGTCATCCAGTCAGCTCTTTTACGTTTTCCTTAATTAAATCATTGTGATTCTGCATTTTCTGTAAAAAGAGCATTATTTTATGAGTTAATATCTAACATTGTATTCCTTTCTTTGTTTTCTTTTTCTTTCTCTTCTACCATTGGATGCAATGCACTGGCACTAGTGAACTACAGCCCTCCCTTGACAGGGCTAGGAGTGCTAGTACCAACTGCTTGAGACCAGATACTAGTTTGCATTCACCAGAACGAGAAAGGTATAAAATAAAAACTTATGAATTTCTTGTCATCTGTGCTGGTGATCTTTCTCAGTTTTGTTTTTCTTCATTTGAGTATTCTACATACTTGTACATTCATGTCTGCTTTGGTATTTGTAGACATATTTGCTCCTGCATTCATGTATGTCATGTAAATTGTGTGTTGGAGTTTATGACCGCTTCTGGCTTCTTTCCTTGTTTTAGTTCAAGCTGATGTCATTGTTTACAAAAGTCCTCAGTATGCTGATAATAGCATTGCAGTGTTAAGTATTTTGACAAAGTACCACTTGGTTGTTCATCATCGTTTGCTAAAAAGTATAATATTTGTTTCTTGCCTGTTCTGTGGACTGCTAATAAGGCGGTGACATAATTTATAAATTATATGACAAAACTCTCATATTTCAAACCAGAACTGTTGTTTGTATCATGCCATATTTTCTACAAAACATCCAAACTTCATTGCTTCCTTAATCTAATCTGCGTCATCTGCTTTTGCAACTATAAGGTAAATCACTGCATTAAACCTTTTTTCACTCTGTGACATTATATTAAGGCTCACATAAATCTTAAGAAAACATATTTGCAATTTTATTGAAATATTGTTGTGTTCATATACATTGTGCAGGCATTTTATGGATGCTTTCTGAATTTTTAATGTTACAATACCTTGGTTAAAAATCTTAGGTGAACCAAATACTATTGGTGTGTTTGACAGATGGGATTGTTCCACAGGAGAATTTTTCATCACCACCTGTGTTTTGAATTATACCATTTTAGACTGAGATTTTAGCTTCATTAAAGGCAATAATAGGCTTCCATTGAGTGGGAATATGGTGGAATTATAATTTCATCTGTGCAATACATACTTAACTAGTGTGGCAGTTAATAATACAAAGTTGCTTTGTCAGTCAACCCACAGTGGGGTTATTAAAACAGTTGCATCACTTTCATTATCATGGGAGAGGACCTGTCAATAAGAACGTACTTTTCTCTTTAAGATTAGATTTCTCTTGGGTTTGTTTTTTTTTTTTTTGTGGAATTTCCTTTTCCCTTCTCCCCACTTCCTGCTGCTCCTTGACTGGATCTTGCTTCTCAAGTTGTGCCCTTGTTGCAGAGGAGTGACTAAAGTTCTGCTGAGATATCTCAGATAGATCTGCAATAGTTCATTCCTTTCTCAGGTCAAGATTAAGATATCATAGATAAAACATATATGTCTATCCAAAAAAAGTGTGACGGAAATAAGGCCACTCAGAATGAAATACAGGATACCATTCTAGATGTTTAAAAAAATTATTGTAGCATCATATTAATAACTAAGTGTGCAGATATATACAGCTGTATGCATCTATAAGCAGCTATTTAATGCAATAACATATGGACAGAAGCAGTATATGTTTTGTATTTTTATTTCAAGGGGCCACCCATCAAGTTAAATATTCAATGAAACAGAAACTGGCAATTGTAAACTACCTAGTTAGAATATTATACTCAAAACTAAACCTGTCACTGATGTTAACTAGGTCTGTTATGTCTTTATAAATTATCTTCAACAACCTTTGTCCGTTAGGCACTCAACAGAATCTGCAGCATTTCTCATGAGCCTCCTCATGAAGAGAAGTGTGTGTTAATGGCCTCTGCTAAACATGAGGTTTTGCTAAATCATCTGTGGGCCTGATCCAGAAGAATTGTCCGTCACTATTAAACTTTTATGTCTTTGCTTTTAGAGGTCTTAAATAGTGACTACATAGGGGCCTTTGATTTGGGGTCTTTCATGGGGGTGTAGAAAAGCTCTTTTTTATTAAATTATTGTTCAAAATTTCCATGATGGTTTTGTTGCAAATTAGAAGATCTGCGTGGCTCTGTCAGAGGATTAACAACACGCACTTTTTTTTTTGTTCAGACATAAATGTTTTTCCAATACAGCCCAATTTTTGGAGGAAGATGGTATAATTAATGTATAAGAAACAAGAAATCAATCTTTTGTTTTGGAGGAAGCTAATTTTAGAAGATTTCATTCTCCACTGTTGAATATATCTGCTTATGCTTTAGCATGAGGTTTGTGATCACTTGTGTGTAATGATAGAGGAGATTTTAGCTTGAAGAAGACAGAATTAAAGTTCAAGGTATGCAGAAAGCATTTTGTCTATGTGTGGGCAAGATGAGAATAAGTGACTTAAAGTAAGATAGGTTCATCTTAAATAGTAGGAAAGCTTTTTTGAAGGCTAGTATAATGACATAGTGTGACAGTCAATATGGAAAAGGTCGTCTAGACTTTATTACTGGAGACTTAAGAAGAGATTAAACAAATATCTGTCAGGTGTAGTCAGTCCTGCTTGTAGCGAAGAGAAACAGTATACAGTTTTGTGAAGTCCAATCTGTACAGCATTTTATATTTGAGGGACCGATGTTGAAGGTTTTGTTATTTGTTTTCAAGGTGTTTCCTTTTTTCTTTTCCCTCAGAATGGATTTGTGTGTTTTATTTACAAATTTAGGTTTTTGGTCCTTGAAATATAATGATAGACTTCCAAATGTGGCATTACGTATTTTCTTCAACAAAATTATAAGTATACTTACCTTAGCAAGAAAATTCTTATATATATATATATATTTTTAGATATATATATATATACACACTCACACACTTATATGTATACTTACCTATCAAGAAAATTCTTCCTACTCATTTCCTCCAACCTTTTGCCTCAGAGGGTATAAATTAGATTGCATCTGGGATCAAGAGTTAAAATGTTCCACTTGACCTTTTTCAACAAAATGGTATTGGCCATGTGTAACTGGTAGACAGTAGAGCCTTATTTCTCTGTGTTAACAATTTATTGGAAATGGTTTTGATCCTTAAACTCTGTATAACATCATTCTTGTCGTTTGGAATGTTTGGAGTAATTATCGTTTTTTAAGATGCTGCTTTGCCAGTAAAAGTCATAGTGTTAATCCACATACACCAGCAGAAAAGTACTTTCAGCAGTATATATGATTTTGGGGCTTATGTCTTGTTAGTTGCACTAAAACAAAAGCAGAACAGCAAAAAAAAGACATTCCTTTTCTCCTGCTATAAGCAACAATATTTAAGCAAGGAAAGTCCGTATAACTTGACTGGCAAACTGACCTTACACTGACATGGGCCTGCCAAAGTTTTTTAGTAAATGTACTAGTTTGGTACAGAACATAATCCTTCACATATTTCTCTTTGGCACAGTATACACTGGGATACTCAAAAAGATCCAGCCCTTACTAATGTACCTATACAGTTGTACCATGCCTGCCTTTTTTTTTCCCCCTCCTATTTATTCCTAGGTGTTCAAAATTATTATTTTGTTGAATTTTCTGTGATGATCTGTAAGACATATGTTAGTTTATAATATAGTCATAAATACCCTTTAATGCTATTGAAAATGTTTATTGCTGTCACTACTTCCTTTAGTATGATTTTTTTTTTTATTGCCCTCTTAACTGTGTCTCAGAGGTTATGATTTTTTTTTTGTTTCCTTTGCAAGTTGGTTACCATCTCCTTAGAACAGAGAAATCTGTGTGCAATCCCCAGCCTCAAGTCAGAAAAGCACATTAATAATACTTAGTGTGGCTTTTATTCACTTTTTCTTGTTGCAAGCAATTGTTGTGTGTATTAGCAGCTAGCACAAGAGCAGTTGTATGGATCGGTACTGCTGGTATGCTTTGGTCCTGAGAGATTAGTCAGTGGAGATCTGAGCTAATAAATCCGAGGTGCACAGCCCGAGGATTAGTTCATATACAAAATATCTGCAAAATGCAGCCCAGCAGCTGTGTTAGATCTGTTTTGAGGTGCTTTGCTGCCGTAGGAATCAAAACATTTCAAGGATCTTCAGGATGTTTGCTGTCACCTGGTCACTACTAGCTAAACAAGATACAAAGTTGAACAGTTACCTGTTACCTACTCATGAATAGATAACAGAGAAGTTGGAGCTGTCGCTTGATCCAGTTAAGACTTGTGCTTAAATTTCATGTTGACTTTTCTAAGGTTTTTTAGTAAGTCTGAAGTATTAGGTGTTTATGTTGCATGCCTTTAACAGTTATGTTGAATATCACCATTTACATTTAAAATACTGTACGGTAAAGTAGCTGTTTGCATTATGTATGCAATGTCTTGTGTTTCCAGTTCTTTTCAACCATGTAAAGGAATAGGTTATTGCACGTTTGTCTGCATTATACTGTGTCTCATGGTCATTCAAAATTCAGTGAAAGAGAGCATGTTCTCAAAATTCATACTGCATGACCTAGCTAATTCTATCAAATACTGTTTAATATTTGTAGTGGGTATCAGCATATTAAGGGCTTTGACTGAGTGCACTGATGCATTAACATTTTCTTTAACTCTTGCTTTGGAGAGAAAAAGAAACTAACTACTAACAACGTATTTCCTCTTGAAACTTCTGAAAGATCTGCCTAGCTGTTCAAGTGATGCTAATCTCCCCGAAACCTTTGTTATTTGCATGTTCCATAAATCTAATCCTTTTCCTTATTACATGGACTGGAAGGATGCCTCAGAAAGTGAAATATTAGATAGTCTGCAGAGTTTATGTAAACATTTTGCTGTTTGTAGATTAATTGGTATATTTTGATTTTGTAAATTGTTATACATACACTTGTACTATTACAACCACATAACAGCCAAACAAAGTAAGCAACACAAGTCTATAGTATATATAATTCTAAATTAAATAAGTTTTTTCAAGAAAAAATCTTGTAAGACAGCAGTTTTCATGCATAGTTCAGGTTCTTTTTGTTAAATTTAATTATGTAACATAATCTGCTGACAGGTACTGCAGGGATACAGAGAAATGAACAGAAGAGGAAGCTGGCTGCACACACTTTCAATATATATTTTTAAAGAAAAAAAATTACACCAGTACTTGTATGCAAATATGTGTAGCTTGGTTGTAGCTGATTAATTTCCCATTACTCTCTCATTGTGTTGCAGAAAAAGGTCACTTTTATGCCTTAGAATTTTTCTTACAATTCATAGTCCTACATTTTTACTGAGAATGCGTTTTTCAGTGCAAATAGGTAGGAGAGATAGGCTTAACAAAATACCAGCCTGTAGTCGACAGAAAATGACCATCATATGGTCTTTGAAAAGCTCTTCTAGTTCGGAATTATGACTCTTTATGCAGATGAAAGTCTTGTAGATAGTCTAGTATTTGAGAATATTTGAAAACTTAATGGTACACTATGTAAAAGATTTGTATCAGTCCAATTTCTTTGGGCATACATTCTCCTTGTTTCAACTATAATGTTTCTGCAGTAAGCAGCCATAAGAATAGTATACTTGGGAATTAGAAAACTGCCAGAGAAAAATAAGTAAATGACACACTTGCATTACTTTTTGGGGTATTTTTCCAGTCTCAAATACTACATACTTAATCTTATCACAAACTAAATATCCTATTTTTTTCCTGTTTTATTGGACGGGCAAACAGCGGTAGATGGTCCCCCTCCCTAGAGAGGAGACGACCTACTAGTCCCAGGATTCATATCCAGCATGCATCTCCGGAGGATGACAGGTACTAGTCAACTCCGCCCAGTGGAAAAGTGGCTTACTGCATCTTGCACTCTCAGAGGACTATACTGAAATTTAAAAGTATGCATATATGTAGAGAGAGACTTACAACTCTCAGAAGCCCAAAATAAAACAGCAGCTTAGATAGCATTGCTGCATTTTATTGAACTGTTATAAAGCACCTTTTATAGAGAAACTTTTCTGTTTGACTGAATGGTCACAAGCCATGAAATAAGATGTCTAATACAACAGAACATCATCTGTGTTAATGTTCTTTAGTCTGTTTTTAGCTGCTTCTGTAAATGTTGGTGGTGTTTCACTGTGGTGCTTTATAATATGATAAATATTTGTTGTAGAGCCTGTTCTTGTCTAGATGTTTATTTTTATTTTTATTGGTTTTATTTTCCTTTTTTTTAACAAACTGTTCCTAAGGGGAGGATAAAAACCCACAAACTGATATGTTGGAAGTCTTGGTAACACTTGCTAGTTGATGTATGGAAAAACTGGCAGCGTGTGTAAATTCTGTCCTAAATTAGGATGGTCTCTATGGAGCAGGTTTTCCTAACAAGGTAGGTTTTGGTTAAAACCACCAGTGCTTTAAATAATTTTTTACACTGAATACCATCTATGATTAAGTCTTAAGAAAGTCATGAACTTTCTACTCAAATCAGTTTTGGTATTCCATTGCTTTGGCAGTAGTACTTTTTTTTTTTTTTCCAGACAGATCTGCATTTATTTTAAGCAGGCATAGTAATTTCTATTGAAATGCAAATTCAAAAATTTTCTTTGAATTTTTTGTCTTACAGTAAATAACAGGATACAGATGGTTCATGTAAATAATCCATTGAATGTGTAAAGTCTTAGGAAGTTGCACTTAAAACTGTAAGACTGCTTTATGGATAAAGCTCAATTACTGTAGTGCTAGTGCTTACCTTCTGCTAAAATCTATCCACAGTACATATATTTGTACTGTAATTTGTCATGATTGCTTGATACTGGATGTGTTCCACTAATACGAGGTGGGAAGAGTGTAATTTTGTTTGGATACCATTTCTTTTTTTATTTGAGTGAAGCAGCATTATAAAATTAAATTTGAGAAACATTACTTCAAAATTGTGCCTGTATCTGACTGCATTTCTAGAAATTTTGCCAACACATCCCTTTAATGGGATAGCTATTAATAGTTTATAAATGCACTTTGTATTTTTTAGGCATTTTTAAGTAATTTCACTTTCCATTTTTCAAGTCAGTGGAAAGAATGTCTTTGACTTCAGTGGATCAGACTTGATAAAAATCTTGTTGTCATTGAAATTATTAGAACTAAATCATAATAATATCATGTAACAGTGAAGTTAGGTTTTCATCTAAATAGTGCCATCCTTAATGCAGAACTGTAAGCCTTTTGATGCCAGATGAAGTCTTCTGGAGAATGACTGAAATAATCTAATACCTGTTAGCAAAGGTATTACAATAAAGCATCTATAGGACATGGAATCTATTATGGGAAAGATTCTGAGTTGGAGAAACAGCAGTCCAATGTTCTGAGTGAAATCAGTGCTGCCTTATGCTTGGAAGTCTTGCAGGTAATCTGATCATCAAATCACAGTGATACAGTCGGTTGGGAATCTGGGAGTTTAGGCTAACCCCCAATCCTGTTAACTGGTTGCAGCCTCCCAGTTCCAGGATCTTTCTTCCAGATTAAGGGAAGTTTGGAGAACATTGGGTTCTTTGTATTGCATGCCCAATACAAAATAATAGCCCACTTTGTGTGTAGAGTTACACACATTAAAGCAGAGTTAAAACACCATTACAGGTACTTTACCTTTGTTTTTTACTCTTCAAGTTTACATTTATTCTGATTATTTCCCATAGCTTTGGCAGTTGGCCAACACCAGTCAGTTCTATAATTTACAGGTTTTTAAGATGTGCTTGTATCAGTTGGACAACTGATACACTGGGTCTTGGGGAATGAGTGTCTTATGGATCAGCAGAGGTAACTAACTAACTGCTTATCACCACTTTCAAATTGTATTTTCACAGATTAATTGACTTTGACAGATGTCATCTTACTCTTCATTTGAGTACGTTCCAGATTTATCTTCCAAATTGGCCCAATTTTCATTTAGGGTGCAATCAAGAAGATCTATTTCTGAATACATTTCTTAAACATATACCTTATGCATTATTTCTAATTTTGATAATCTAAATTCAGGTTTTGCAACATTGTATTTATTGATAATGATTCATAACATATATTTTAGTAAAGGTCTTGGCAAGATTGTTGTTATTCTGGAATTCGTTCACTTGCCATATCAGAAAAAGTGACTCCTTGATGTAACTTGACAAGATGAAGACATGGGTCATATGTTATTTCAGTGTTAAGAATTAAGAAGTGTTTGGTTAGTATCATGTATTTCTATAAGACATTTTAAAGAATAGTTCTTGGTATAAATTTGGTAGCATCATTGCTGGGAGGCTTTTTGGTTTTTGTATTAGAAATGAGAATTAGAAAGTCTGCAAAGTGAGAGACTTTCTGGTGACTGGAGAACTGCAAAATTGTGAAATTGTAAGTGATGATAAAAACAAGGAGAATGAAAGTTGAGAATTTAATGGTAGGTGGGAATTTTATTCAGACTGTTCTCTTTGGGAAGTATGCATATAATTTCAGCATATAACGAAGACTGGATAAAATAAACCTCATGTACTTTCAGTTAAGAGAAGCAGCTTTTGGCAGTCATGCATGCATCTGTAAGAATGCTTGTCCAAGAATCATCCTGAAGCCAGCTGTAGAGCAAGTACCATTCTGGTACTTTCACAAAGAGAACTTGAGGTGCTGTGCACTGCCACTGGCAGACTGATGTGGCCTGGACGATCCTTTCTTGTCTTTCCAGCAACACTATGTGACTTGGTCAGGGAGGCAGTTTGGCAAGACATGAATTGAAGTGCTAGGAATGAGTGTGAGGAGCTGCCAAGCCATCAGAGTAGTTGTGACCTCCCAGCTCACATACTGTGTAGATCCAGCCTTTCAGAAATCTTCAGGAAAAAGCAGGAAGTATTGAACATGACATTCTTGACGGCTTTAAGGCTGCATAAATGAACAGACTCACTGCAAACCACTGGGCTCTATTGTACAAGCCAGTAGTAAATAATTTAAAATGTTTGACACTGAATTTTATAAAAATGTTATTTTGTCACTTTAAGAATATTAATTTTTAATGTTAATAGGAATATTATCATATTTCTGTGTGTAGATTTTTTTTTACACTCAACAGTGATAAATATTTTGGGGCACATGTGTCTTTGGAACAGGAATTGTGAATAGCTTGTCTATGTAAAATAATATATAGCGCTTGTCTGTATATGTAACAGGGCCTTATTGATCTGGGATTCGGTGTAACAGTTGGCAGATTTTATGACCTTAAGGAGAAATTTTAGCATTTCCTCACCATAATGGAGATATAGATGCAAATTTATTACATACCCTAGATTATTAGTGGACTGCAAATTTTGCTGATTTTTCTCATTAAAGCCAAATTTGTTATTTAAAAAAAAATCTTACATTGATGCACTTTATCAAGAAAAAATATTTTTTTACCATATATTCCATAAAAAGTAAACCAACAAGCTAATAATATTTATGCCGAATTGAAAGCTGTGAACAAAGTCTGAAGTTCTTAAACATCTTCAGCAGAAGTGAAAATAATATAGAAATTAAGAAATGTTCTGAACTTTATTTGACTTTTTAAAAAAAGCTGAATCAGTTATTCTGCTTTGCTATTGAATTGTTAATTATTACTGTAGCAGACAGGCTGGCAACAGAATATGAAGTTTTCATCAAAATATATGAAATTATGAAATTTACTTGCATTTTCTGGCAAATTTCACAATATGGTGACAAAGTATGCATTTTTCAAATTCCTAAGGGAAGATATTCTGTGTAGGTATATGTACAAATCCAATAAACAATACTGTAGATTAATTCTCAAGAAGGATAATGGGAACTATTAAGCCACAGTGCTGCCATTGAGCATATAGATTATAAAGGTTTTTTAAAATTTTGTTGTGGTTTTCATTCTTTACTTTATTGCATCTTACACTGTTGATATTATGTCTAAAAATTGTCACATTTCCTTAAAGTTTATGGATTAAATCAGTGGAAGGGGAAATGAGGAATATAGCCTTTCTCAGCAGATAGTGCCTTAATGCTTTTGGTTTATATATTTGACTGCATGTCTCCACCTTCACTGCATGTGACCATCTCTCTGTTTCTGCTCATTCTGTCCAAATTCACATCCATGTTTCCAAATTTTGTGAAGAACAAGGACGCTGGAGTCTTGCATTCCAAAACAGGACAGTGTAGACCACCTAAATGCTAAACCTGGAGCAGCACAGAGGTATCCTTATTTACTCAAATCATAGTTCCAAGTAAATGAGGTATTGGTTATAGTATGTTCTTCATATGCTCTGCATAATACTTTCATATATTTATTTTTTTCTTTTTATGTGTATGTACATATATGCATGTATTGTTCATAGATAAGATTTAATCCCACGTAAAGTACATTTAAGAGGTAAATTTGCATATGACGTGAGTGTTCTTATCCCTGGTGCACTTCTTCATACATAGTACATGGCATGGAAGGACGCCTACCTGTAAATATGTACCTGCCAATGCCCACAATGTGCTCAAGCTGAGCCAGGACTGCGAGTGCTGTAGTAGGCTGTTGAGCTGTATGGAATTGTATACTGTATCATCTTAGCAAGAGGAAGGAAGCAGAAAGGAAATTGTGATTTTAAACCTATTTCCAATGTGTGCTGCTTACAAGGACAGCACAGAGAGCAGAGAAATAAGTATATTCAGCTCACTAGTGCTGTATGTTACTTTCTCACTCTTCACAGGAAAGCATGTCCCTACTCTCAGCTTTTCTATCCTACAAAGAGCAGTCACTATGTGCTCTTTTTCTCCATTGCACAGTCTAAGCAAGTGACACAAGAAGTAAGAGCAAAATAAGCCCCAAACTCAACCAAACAGAAAATGAAGAGGGTGACATCAATTGAGTGATCATGCTGCTGCATTCACTGGATCTAACCATAGCTTTAGACACTTTGCTAACCTTAGGTTTTAAGTAAAGCTTACAGCATTTTATATGTGTTTTCCTGTGTATCCACCTTGTATTTGTCCTCGTAAAGGAAAAATAAAAAAGCAATGTGAATATACAAAAAAGAAATCTGGAGCAAATAAGTTTGAGGACAAAGGTGATTTTAATTTTTAATCTGAGATACTATTTTTTGGTAAGAAATTACATTCTTTTAAATCCCAGAAAGCATCAGGTAATGAGCTCTGCTCATGCAGAAAACATTTTGTATTCTGCTGCAGTATTTTCTTTGTTGTGGAGCATATTACATCACAATATAATGCTCATCAAATATTGCAGTGGGTACAAATCATGAAAATCCACTGTAATTGTATTCTTTGAGTAAAATTTGGTGTTGCAGCTGTTTAGGTATCTTCCAGTTCAGACACTGGATTACTCTTCATAACCACAAAGTTTTAAAAGGAGTATGTATTTTTTTAAATATTATTTTTATTTATCTGTTTTGCCCACAGTAATTCTTTTAGATCTTAATATATGACATTCATTATATTGTTGCAAGTTCCTATACATGTTTCTTGCACTGATGTAAGATGCAAGTTAGGGTTTATCAACATATCTGGTCTAACAATGCATAATCATCATTTGCTGGTTTGACCACTACTGAAATACTCTATGTATTTTTATTCTAAAAACAAATATATATTGATGATTATGAGAGATTTAAAATTGTAAATCCTAATTTGTAAATGCTCACATTACTATAGATAGTAATGGAAATTTTGGAACACAAAAGCTTTGCAGAGATTTTCATAGTATATTTATAGTCCTGGGTCATAATAGAGAAACATGCTTTACCTTCGTTCTTACATTTATTGACTCATGTTACTGTTCATTGTTCTTATTTACTATCAGAGTAAATGCTTACATTGTCAGTAATGTGACACTAGTAACTTACTAGTGCCTCACTGTCCAAATGTCAGATGAATTTCTATAAACGATTTACATGGGAAAGGAGTGAAGGAATGAAATAAACTTCTAACTTACTTATATTGACTAGAAAAAAATAGAATTGTTTTAAAGTGTTTCTCAGAAACCTAAACAAGTTTTAATACAATGAGATTTTTGAGAAGCCAAGTTTTTATTAATATAGTGACAGCATTATTTAAATCTGATATGATGCAGTAATTGTTTTGCTTTTGAAATTTAGGTTTAAAAGCAATTTTTAAAGTTTACATTTGAATAGTGTTTTCTATTCCTTTCTGCAACGTTTTTTTCCTGCTGTCTACTCTGCACTTGTTTTTCATGCTGTCAAGAGATGACTAAAAGGCTTCTGAGGAGGCATTGTTTCTAACCACATACAGACTGTGAAGTGGGAACTAGCTGCACCATTCAGTCAGGATTAATGTTAACTCCTCTGTTCTGGTGTTCATAACTTTCACACCATCAGCCTCAATCAAACCTAATCAGGGCCATGTGTCTTAAACCTCGAGTCACCAGCCTGTTCATGAAGATAGTTGTCACTTTTTCATCTGTCAATCATTTCTGTTACTAGCTTTACAATACATTAATAAGTATATAATCTTCATATTTTTGTATTCTTTTTCTTCTTTGTTTATTTCTTTTCTGACATGTCATTTCACAGGCAGTCCAGAAAAGTGGAAAGATATAGCAGCCAAAAACAAACTAGGAAAGGCTCCGCAACTGAAACAGAAAGGTAGGATTGCTGACCAATGAGTAAACATCTTATATAATCAATCTGATTCCACTGTTTGGAATATACCTTTAATATGACTTTTAAAGTAGAAAATCTGTGACAGTACCAAATGTTGTTGTAATTCACAGTATCATTTACTTTGTATCTATATTATTAGCACTGCTTGCTGTGTTGTATACATAAGGAATTTTTCTGGCATTCTCCATTATTGCAGATAAACTCAATGGTAAAGACTAGTAGCTGATACATTTTATGAACCAAAATCTGAGACCCATTGCCACTGTCTTAATCTCTGTAAGATGAAATCTGGAAATGCGTAGCATTTTCATTAGTATGGGACTGTTTTCTGTGCTTTACCACTGATCTCTCTTCAAAAAATCTTGTATGTTTTACAATAACTTTGAGGATGAGAAAAAGATATTAACAGATTAATAACTCAAGATGTCTCTGATCAAATTAATTTCACTTTATAATATAAAAATGTTGTTAGGCATTTAAATATGTATAGAAAATTTTCTATTCTATCATTACTAATATTAATATAAACACCGGGAGTTTAACCTTTGTATTCACTGAATTTTCCTGTACTTGTATTATCATTGTAACTTTTGGCTTTGATATTACAGTAGTATAGGGTTATGTATTGAGATTCTTAAGAAAAAGAGAAAAAAATGTAAGAAATCATAAGTACATCTAGTTAAGTTTTAAACCCTTTGTGTTAGCTGAAATAGGAGCAGTGAGGAGGAATGGGATCCTGCCTTTGTCAGAAACAGATTTATGTTACCTGGATTAGCAGAGGAGGAAATTTTATATTGTGAGGGTTCAAAAACTTCTACGAACAACCACAGACACATTTTTATTTTCAATGAAAATGCACATTATGTAGCAAAACTTCAGAGCTTTTGTTTTACTTTACTGCTTCAAGTCCCAGATTATTGTTCCTGATCTGAAAGCAATGGTTACATTTTTCTTGGTTTTGATGATTCTGTTGTCAAAACAGTGCAGTTGCTTTTTCACTTTAACCCAGAGAAATTGCCTAAATAGCTGACATCCTTGCTGTGTTTAAACCAGGGACAGTTTTGCCACTGAGATCACTAAAGCCTTTTTTTCTCTTGTTTTTCCTAACTCCTGAAGAGTAAGAGGAGCCACTGGGACTGAGGTCCAAGGGGCTCACAGTTCCTGCTAACCATTCAGACTATATGGTTAGAAAGCTTGACACAAAACTGAGAAGGAAGATAAGGTGGGAAAGAGATATGAATTAAATGGGAGGGGGGGGAAAGGGAACATAAACATAACTAGAACTGTGTGGCAACAGAAAGGGTAAGGAAGGAAAAGAAAATATGAGATTCTGATGGCAAAAGGGCAGAGCAAAGAGTCTGAGAGACACTGGCAGAGTACAAAGGGAGGTCCCACAACACTTGTAATTCGACAGATCAGTGTATCTGTGTATGCATTTATATTTCAAACCCAGTATTTCAGTGTGTGGACTGGCGGCATCTTTCTTCTACAGATGTTAAGATCACTGCATAGATCAAAATCATATACCTCAATCAACCCTGTTTACACTAATTAGTGGTTTACACTCATCTCAATGTATGGAAGGTGTAAATCATCATCTTGGAATACTTAGAATTTCAGATATTGCAGGTAATATAGGAACTGATTTGCAGGGACTGTGATTACGAGATGTTATGCTGAATGCATTAGTAGCACATTGGCTCCATGTCTCAGGATTAGCACGTTGTTATATTTACGAAGAAGAGGCCTTTCTGGGGCTTGGGCAATGTGTCTCCCTGCTTGAAATGACCAGCCCAGGCCTGAAATTTTGAGGGTTGTTTTTTTTTTTTTCCTTGGATATTTCAAAGCTGGTTTTTGGTTTTAGTTTTTTCTGTTAATAACATAAAATTGAGGATTTATTCATGTATATAGATAGCGTGAGTCTGGAGGCCCCTGTGAAATACTGCTACAGTCTCTATATACAGAATTTATATGGGATTTAATGGATTGGAAGTTGCTACTTCAGTCGTTGCTGTGCTGAGATAAATTTGGCATTGAGATGGTAATGATTGTAGTCACTACCTAGTGCTAGTGTTTGGAGAGGAGGGGAAGGTGTTGTTGGCTTGAGGTTTTGCGGAGCGGTGTGGGGTTTTTTTTTTTATTTTTAAAGCAGTGTGAAATAGCTTTTCACAGGTGAGTAGGAAAACTAATAAAAAAATTAAATAAATCTGGTGTGTTTGTTTCCTCCAAAGTTAAGCAAAGTTACCAAAAGTATGAGTCCCCATAGCTACATTTTTACTTTCTAGAAGAGAAAAGCTGTCTCTGATTTGTAATGATCTTAAGATCAATGAACCCGGTGCAACAAGAGCATAGGGAAACATGAATTGTGCTTCTTTTTACATCTCCATGGCACATGGTGTAGGTTTCTGTTTCTGTAAAACGATTCACTGCTACTAGTTGTGAGACACAAATGTTTAAATAAGTCTGAGTGCTGTAGTTTGGTATTTCATCATAGATACAACATTGTTTTGATCATAGGACAGGCGATTAACTTTCTTGTCAAAAGGCAAATACAACTCAGGACTATTTCTTCCTCTGTTTCTTAGATTTGTTCTTTATTTTGCAATTTGCAGATCTTGTCTGCTATTAGCTAAGCAGGTTACTGGAATAAGGTATCAGCATGCTATCAGCCTCTCTATAAAGCCTTTCAACATAGTATGTAAGATTAAGTTCTCTATGTATTGTGATAGCTGAGGAAATGTACATAAAAGGGAAAAATCAAACCTTTTCAGGATAGTTTACAGAGCCTAACAGTTCTCTTAATAATTTGATGAGATAAGCCTTCAAGATGGGATTCAGTAAACTCTTCTGAAGGAGTAAAACTGATCACATGAAAATCAAACATTTTCTGTGCTTGTATGAATGAGCAAAACTGTGCTAAAAATTGTTTCATCCCAATCCTAAAATATTTGCTTTCAGCCCTAACTGCGTACCCCAGAAATGCCAGATTTGAGGTTACCTGTCACATGTTATGGTAAATAGAGTCTTCAACTGTACTTGCTATATTTTACATAGGACCTTGTGCCAGGGGTGCGCTGGATTGGCGATGCTCTCTTATTCTTATTTTCTCTTTATAGTTCCGTTAAGTGGAAGCATGTTTTATTTAGTACATGCCACTGAGACATCAGTCTGAAGAGAAAGGAATTTGAGTTTTCTTGCTAGAACCTGTAGGATTCCCCTGTAAACTATTGCCGGTTGAATTAATAGGTTTGCTGCTTGCAGTGTTACCTTCCTCTGTGAGAAATTAGGAGATGAGATACACACATATGTGCTTGTTGCAGTCTCATTGCTTACCAGGTATCATTTCTCTCCCAAATTCCTCTCCTCTCCATACTTATCTCAATTCTGTCTTGTTTCCTCAGTCATACACTAAATTTTGTCTCCCATGCTCGTTCCTTTTTGTCTCGTTCTTCTGATCAGCCATTTGCAGCCTACTTCCTTTCAGCAACTGATCTTTCTTCTAGACCAGCAAGACCTTAACTCCATTCTAGTTTTTCTCCAGTTCCCTCTTAGCTCTATTCTTTATTTGCACCCCAAGTAGCATATTCGTCTTAATGTAATACCCCAGCTAACACAAGTCTTAAGCTTAATTTGTCTTCAGTTAAGCAGATCCTCTATCTTTCTCTAGTGGAAGGGTACATGTCTGTAAAAAGGGTATTGCTGAAAGAGCAGGAGGTAAGTTTCTGAGACTCAGGTAAAGTGTCTGTTCTGTTACAGCAGAACAGACTCTCCTAGTGCTTCACTGGGATCTCAGATAAATTCCAGGATATTTAGTCTCTAAAATGAGAAGAATCAGAACTGAGAACATGATGACTTTGATAGATTGGAGCATTCATTCATAGTAAAAGCAAGCAAGCACTTTCTGGCACAGAGTGGGATCCCTATTCACCTTATGAATCTTACGATGTTTAAACATCTGATAAACCACATCCTTAAAAGCTGATTGCACGCAATAGTTGGCATGGGTTACTTTTACAGTCAGCATGGAGAAACAGGCATTCTAAGAACTCCACTCATATTCATTATTGGAAGCATCTCTTAGAATCAGGGGAATAAGTCTCTGCAAGAATGTTACGGTTATCACCAGGGAAGCCAGGAGTTAACTTGAAGACATGTTAGGGTTTAAGAGAGAGAATACACCAAGGACAACAGAATCCTGGTTTTGTTGCATTGTGACTGGACTTCCATATAAAGTCTTAGTGATGAAATGGCTTTGAAACCTGTTTGTTATCCTTGGTAGACATCTGTATGTTACCTCATACATAAATTTTTTTTTAGGGTGACTTTTCAGTGTATGATAGTCATGTGAACTAGACAGTCCCTTTGGTTACTTTGACTATGTCTTGTGGGAAAGTTGTGCTGGGTGTGTAAAGGGAGGCTTCATAAGTCTTCAGAAATTAAAACAAAACAAAACTAAAAAACCCATAATGAAATGATGTCACAGGAAGCTGAAATTTCTGAAATAACAGCAAATACAATAGTACCACTTGCAAAATGCTGCACTGTTGGGAAAACAAGGAAGAGTAAAAAGGCAGTCAGAATTCTCTGTCACTCTCCAAACTTGAAAAGTTTCAGGTTATCTTATACTTGCAGTGTATGCAATTATTAAACTACTAATAATTATGCTTTATTATATTAACACAATTAATCATTGTACTGCATATTTTAATTATTTTTTCATTAGAATTCCTTCAGAACTGTATTTTGGTTTTAGGTCTTAAAGCAGAAAGATACTTAAGAAGATTCCATATTTCAAACTCCTAGGGAAATCAAGGGAATTACATATATGTGCTTAGATATTGTCCTTTTTTAGGACACTAATTGAAATGCAGTTAATATTTTTAATAAAGATAAAAGGTATGTTTTAGAAACAGAAATGCTTTGTGGTAAAACTAGGTATTCATAGCGTACTCTGTGCTAGTACTTATGTCATACGTGTTGTTATCTTGTTTTTGCTGTGTTTAAGAGGCAGCTAGAGTTTTTGGCCAACTGTCTGCTATATGCAGTGCAGTTCAACAGTTCCACAATCACGGTCATGTGTATCTGTAGTGGTGTGTGTTCTGCAGTTCATAACTTTGAAAATGGATTTGCATTCAGAACTAGCAACTTTGATCTGAAATGTCAGCCCTGGTCCTGCAGCCAGGATTTGCCATGTTCTTTGATGGAGGGGGGCATGGGAAGGTGTGCCTGGAGCTAACAACTGAACAGTTTCTTTTTGGCCCTGATGTTTTAGGGGTCTGCCACCATGTCTTTCTAGAAGGGGACTTCCAACCCCACGAACGACTGAACAGCCAGTCATTAGGGGAAAACATCACACTCGCTCAAGGTCGAGTGAGCACTCTAGTATCAGACCCTTATGCTCTGTACATCACCGAGCGCCCGGAGGGTCGGCACCACCTTCTCCACTTCTGACAAGGTTGCTATTACGTGTACAGCACAGCTTTCATGTTCTGCCTCCCAGGTGTCAGTGTGGTCTTGTACTTTCCTGAGCATACATGGCACATTCACTCATTCTGGCACTGTAGATTATCCTCTCTTCATGGTATTTACACTTCTCCCATATCCTTTATGCTGCCTATCTTCACCATCCAGATGGTACTTCTTGCTGTTGAACTTAAATAGTTATGCGATGTAAGAGTAAAAAATTGGCTGTGTTTCGTCCTTCCATTGTTGTGTTTTGTTCTGTATCCGTGTGAAAATTATATCGAAGTATTTTGCTTAAACACTGTGCAGGAGATCGTGTGCTGTTCACACAGCTAACTCTGATCTTACAGGCTAAGAGAAAGTTAGTTGATCTATGTAGTGTGAAAGCTAACAGCGTTTTGAACTTGATCAAATGTGTTACTTAAAATTACAAATTTTTTAGTTGCAACCTTATTGTAGTAGATAAAAAGTGCTTATCCACTATAGTGAGAGTGATGTTACTGTAACTGGCAGGGGCACTTAATAGTAAGCTTTTCCTCTCAGCAGTCTGCTTCTTATCATCTTTGGTTTAGTTTCTTAAACTTTTTCCCTAGTTATTAAAGGTGACCCTACTTATTTTAAATGCAAACGTACCAGCATTCCAAAGGTGTTTGATGTTCTACACTCAGATGCTGTATCTATGTATAACAAATCAAGTAGCCAGGGTGCTCTGAAATAGCGCTAGCTAGAATTCCACCACAGGGGTTTAGGATATTTACTTAGGTAAGAATATTAAAAAATCTGGTACATTCTTTGTGCGCACACACGCACCCACTCAATACCAAGGTTAAAGGTTTTCTTTCCTTCATTGAATTCAGGGAAAAACACATTATCCCATGGGAATAGATACTTGCTGTTCATTTCTCTGTGGCCTTGTGCAATTATTGCATCAGTACAAAGGGAATACAAAAGTTAATAAAACATGGAGGTGGCATTTTGTATTGCCCTTGTACCAGTGCAGGAGAACATACATAAAATGTGAGTCATAATCATGAATGGTTCTTAGAAAACTGTTTTTCATTCAGTGGTTTTTGACTAGTACTTTGTTTTGAAAAAAAACCAACAAAACAAAGAAAAATATTTCTCCTTAGTTGAAGGTAGTTAGAGCAATTAAACGTGAGGCCTTTTAAGTTTACTAAGTATCCAGACCTGCGTATGTGCATATGGCATACACCAAATGCAAACTTCTTCAAACCCATCTTCAGTATATGCAACTTAATGTGTGTTTAAAGTTCAGGATATAAAAATCCTCTTCATTTGGGTTATTTTACTTTTATCTTCATTTCATTTGCAGAATACATCAACAAGGAAGTCCCACACAGTCTCCTCCTGCAGACACATCCTTCAGCAGTCGCAGGGGAAGACAGCTACCGCAAGTTCCAGTAAGAAGTGGCAGTATAGAGCAAGGTATCAAATAATGAGCTTATGATAGCTCAAACTCTTTGATTTCTTACTTTTTTTTACTTAAAGTCTACTTTCATAACTACATGTTCAATGCTATAATTCTACAAAAGAAGCAATAGAAGAGAATGAAAGCATACTTGTAGCCTGGGAAATCCAGTAGAGTTTGACCAGTGGATTACTACACATGGTTTAATTACCTTAATTTTCTAGTGGCCTTTTATGTTTGTCTACTTCAGAATTTCTATTAGAGTTGTGGTAGTTTCCAACAGATATCTAGTTTGTATTCATCTAAAGAAATCAGGCGCAAAGATTTTGACAACATTCTGACAGTCTTATTAATTTCTTATTTTGTGGTTTATATTAATTGTTGTGCATTGTTAACATAGATTAATAATAAATATCACAAATCTGTTTTTCATCTGGAGTTCATAGTTCAGTGATTAAAGAATGAAAATAATCACCATGGGAATGTGAAAGCACAGGTCATCAGCTCTTTCTTTCTTAACAATAAACGGATCAGGCAAAGAGTGCTGCTCTTTTCTGAAAAAGACAATGTAGACCTAGTGGTTGTGGAAGACGTTTTTCACATATTAATATCAAATAAGTATGAATATTGCTGTTTCCTTTTCTAGCAATATACTGCACACAGAGTATGAGCTATTATGGTAAAATGAAGTGGCGCATTGGATAATATTTGCACATTCAGATTTTCTTCTGTGTTTAAAAAGCCTTGTTGACTACAAGCAACAACTGAGACTGCCATATACCACAGGGTTTCTTCTATGTGGAAATTAAAGAAATGATTCTAATGATGAAATACGGTAGTGCTTTAGAGAACTGTTGGCAGACCGCTTTCTTTAGTCCATAATGTTGCTTACCACGACCTTCTTATCATGATAGATTACCATATGATTTTTTTGTACAATGGCTTACCTGCAGTCAGCTTACATGAATTTTATGGTTTTGAGATGTGATGGCATACTACACCTTCAATTAACACATATAAAAATGTAGTCTTATTTTATACATGTATTTATTCTGAATTATTAATCTATCAATACAAGTGAGTTTTATACATTTTAAAATTTGCATTCGAGTCCTCTCATTTTGTTTTGTAGTGAATCTAGGACTGTCTGGTTTATAAACTAGTTACAAACTACATTTACAGCTTCTATTTCTGCATATTAGTAAGTTGGGAGCTTTTTAGGGAAATGTAGTAAGTAATGAATTTCAAATTTCTTTCATGTTTCTTCTGTGGTTTCAGAACTTGGTACAATATATAATGATGAATCAGCTTTTAATTTAATTTTAATTTTGCTTTCCTTTGCATATTCATCTATCATCTTTCTCCTGTTCTTGATAACTGGTGTGTTGAGAGTAAAATACTAGTTTATATTTTGTTAAATACATTGGAAGTGAATGTAGAACTTACCATGAAAGTGAGTAGAGATGGGATGGGTACAGAAGAGGACAGAAAAAATGAAAGTTGAGCAGAAGGCTAAAGCTACGCGAGGTTTAGAAAGTTGTCGAAACCATGAACATCTGTAGAGTAATGCTGTTTCACTGAATTCTTATTTACACTTGTGGTTGATATGCTTGCGTCGTACATATAAAATGTACAAGTAGGATACAACATACAATTTACTTTGTTGTTTTATGTCGTACCGCCTGTGTCAATGTGGCTGTATTACACTACATGGAAATGAAGGCTAAAGAGATCTCCTTCTCTACATAGTACTTTGGTTTTATCTAAGTGACTGTCTGTCCTTTTGAAGGGGGGGGAGTTGTCTGATTTTACCCATGTTTAACACTTTGTTCAAGCTGAGAATGCATTTTCAGAGACATACTAGGTTGAACAGATTTTATAAAATATTTTTTAATGGTTTTGTCAGTATCTTCTGAAATAAATATGATAGTATGTATAAACTTTATACTGCTGTAAGAAATTAAATTCAATGAGGCTATAAGACCATCGCATTTGCTCTGATTTACAGTATCAAATTTTAGTATCTGCTTCACCTCTTTAATCCTTTTCAGATGAGTATCAGGGTCAAATGGAGTAACTAGAAGTGATCTGAACTTAATGTAGGATTGAATCCAAAGCATATTGAGGTCTGTAAAAATTTTCCGTTAACTGTACTTGGAACTGAATTGTGTCCTTAATGATTTAATTTCACAGTCATCATGGATGCAGATGATGTCAAAACATAGTGCAATATAAAAATGTTATAGGGAGCATTTCAAAATTCTTTGCATTTTCTTAATTTATAAATAAAGCTACTCCTTGGTGGTCAGTATTAACATCCTGTGTTTCAAGAAAACCCTGTATGATATACCATAAGGTATCACTTTCATAGTGAAGTACTTCTTTACACTCTATACAAATTCTGTTGTGTCAGGAGGGTTGAATACACATCTAAATATATACATCTATGAATCTATGTCTGTTTTACAAATCACACTAATTGCTGTGAAAAGATTGGATGTCTGTATATCAAGTGGGCTTTTATTTGCTGTTTGCATATTCAAGAGGCATAGAAGAATCCAGTAATTTTATTACGTTTTAAAGCTCTCATTATGGAACACATGAGAGTTAATGAAGGAGCAAGAGGCTGGTAGTGGTTTTCATCTCAAGAAATAGAGTGGTATTTTAACTCTTGATGATACTTTTACTCTCAATGTTTAATCTTTAGTTCTCAATTGTAAATGATCGTATCCATGCTAACAAGGCTTCTTCTAGGACTGACATTGCATCTCGGACATACCATTTTGTCATTGTCAAGTTTAGAATTGAAAAACCAGTTGTTTCCTTGTCTCTACCAGATGATGTTGTCTTAGTTACTGTTCTGGTCAACAGTTTAGGAATCATAAAAAGTCAACTTGTGAGAAAATAAGGTGGTTTTAAAAGATCCTTATTAATAGACACACTTTTTAAAAAAAATCTCATAGAAGTAATTCTTACAGAGAAGACCAAAGTAGTCAACTGTTCTCCATTACAGAAATGGGGTTGTTAGTACTGATCAGGAACAGAGAAAAAAAATGTTAAATGTCGAGGGAAATGTCCAATTTAAGGACTAAAACCTCAAAACAGCATAATTATGCACACTAGCAAGAAAAAAAAAAAAAGAGGCTTCTTGGTGATTATGTTCTAAATGGAATAGCGGCTTTGCCTAGTTTTTTGGGGGGGGGTAGTTATCTTCACTTGGAACATTTCTAACTAATATTTTTAGCAACTCCAGTACATGCCAACTTTTTCGAGTGGTTACAGTTAAGATTGTAGGCTTCTGTAATTTTTAGGCACTGTGATTTTTATTTTAATCCTAGTGGTATTGAAGAACACATAGTCGTATTTCTTTCCTTTGCAACCCCATCAGCAGTATTTCTTAGAGTGCAAGACACACTAGGATGTTATTGCAACTAAAGGTCTTGAGATGCTTGAATATTGAAAGTTAGGCTGGTATAGGTGTGTTTGTATATGTTTTCAAAAAGTCACAATTTTGTAGTCATCACCCTAACTTAAGCTACTTAAGAAGTGGTTTTTATTTCTTTGTTTTAACTGATAATTTTATAAAAGGACCTAATAATATCAAGATGTTTTGGCTCAGTGGCTAAAGCAGTGAAATTCTAAGCCATGGTAAGGACAACGCTGTGTTCTCAATACGTCATCCTGTGCCAAGCTCTAAGAATTTGCATCAGTGTTTTTTTCATTGGCATCATGTTTGAGTGGACCTGTGCAAATCATTAAGAGGGGTGGGGATTCTGCATTGACTCTGTCTTTCAACTGTTTCTATAACAACTTTGTTATGGTTTTTAAATGATACTTTTGTATAAAGCATATTTCAATGATCTTTACTCAGTCTGTCCTGTCGTTGCAACGATCAAACGTCACGGGAATTCTTGCTTGAATAGGATTTGAGGGTGGATCTCTACACTTCTGTATAATGGATAATCATTGTATTGATCAAGGAAAAAAATTAATACAGCCTGAAGTCTATAGCATTTTTCTACACTCCTTTTTAGCTGCAGTAGATAGTATTAGGGATAATATTAGGAAATCTAGCAAATGAATAAGAAAAAACATGTTATGTACTATTGAAATTTGTGAACCAGCAAGATAAATGTGCAGTGATTGTAGTATAGAAACGATCTTTAAGAGCTAATTCATGCAAAACAGGTCTTTCTCCCTGTATCTGCTCTGTTTGGCTCTTCACAGCGTGATTTCTTTTTCATAGCATCAACAATGTGGTTTCATGTTTAAGAAATCCTATAATGAGAGTAAGGTTTGTGATAATCAGTGGCCTATCTACATGTAAAGAACATCTGTAAATATAATTGGACTGGTGGGGTTGTATGTGTTTCCAGTGTCATCTGTTTACAGCACTACACCTTATGCAGTGACCTTTAGAAAAACAAAAGTGTGACCAGCATTACGTATTGCTGTATCTTAGCTCGTGTTAGAAAAAGCTGCATAAGCTTTGTACATTGCTTGTATGCAGGGTGACGTGCATGCGTGCTGCTGTTTCATGAGGGAAAGCTACATTGAAGACTTTACTGGTACTGAATGGGGATTACTTGTATAAAATTCACATGTATGATATATGTACAAGTCTTTAATGGTTGTCAAGTCACGTCATAGAGAAATTAAGTGAAAGAAGAATCAGAATTTCATACAGAAAATTAGTATGTTGCCATATAATACCTTTGAGTTGCAAATATCTTTCTATATTTAACCAACTTAAGATGTGAAAAACAATTAATAGCTAATGAAAAGCATTCTGTGTATATGTACTTGATCATTGAAATGTCATTGCAGTGAGAATATGGCTTGAATAATGGTAAAAGATCAAACCTTTCAGTTAAAACCTCTTTTCAGATCATTCAGTATAAAACTTGAGTGGCAGAAAAAAAGAATAAGTCATTGCAATTTTAGATTTTAGTCTTTTAGCATTGTTTGTTTTGTCTTCATATTTCTGGTTTCATTTTGAAAGTATTAGGTGCCACTACATATTTTGAGGCAGCTTGTGGAGTCTTTACTCGTGCTGGAGAGTATTTTTTCTCAGCATTGCTAACTCACTGCAAATTAGTTTAAGCCTCATAATCTTTTATGTATTCTTTAAAGACCAATTTTCAATAGTCCAGTGGTTATTGAGTATTACAGACTTCAGTTAAGAGAAAATAAATTTGTAACACTCATTATTGCAGAAAAGTCTTCAGAATCTAAAACAGGGCTATGTGGTTCAGGAGTGAGAGTGATACTTCAAAAAATTCTAAGATTTTTATGTTGTTCATAAATTTGGATATGACAGTACTGCTCGAGCGAAATACTTAAGGAGTCCACAATCTGGTTCTTAGTAACTTCATTGTTCCTGTTAATTTTAAAGAAAAAGTCATAGGCTTTATTGTTTGCCATGGTTTATCATTTTAATTTTCTACATTACTTTTACATATGCTGGAGTACTGCTTACTGTACATGCCATTGTCACATGTAACACATTTCTTTATCTAACTTTAAATTTGCTGATTTCTTTTTCTGTTTCCATCATTCCGTGCATTTAATTCATTGAAGAGCAAGAGACTTTTAACTCTTCCACAAAAGGTAAATATTTATGTAATTTTTTACAAATGTTTGGCAACTGTTAATACTGGCTTTTCCCTCAATATATGCCATGTCAGTATATAGTATTTAGTTAAGTGTTTAACAGGCCAGAAGGTTGTTTCTCAAATATCTATATGCTATATGATGCCCCTGTTTAGAACATAAAAATGGTTTCTTTTGTGATTTCTAATTTTCCTACTGAAATTCAATATATGGATGTAACAGGAGCAGTCATGGTATTTTACATGGCTCAGAAGCTGCTTGATTGAGTTAAAGTTCACTCAAAGACTAAGATTTTACCTAAGCTCTTGAGCTCTGCACAACATCTGCTTCTAATGATGCAGCCATGGCTCTTGGCATCTGTGAAGGATGTTTCATAGGTTTAGGCTTAGGAATAGTTGAAGTGATGACGGCCAGAAACTATCCTTCATCTGCAGAGGCATTCTGAAGAATGAGCTGTGTTTTATGTGCATGACAAGCCCCTGACACTCAGAAAGCTAGTAATGTTGTAGGGCAGGTTTCTTGGGGCAGACATACAGCGCTCACCTCCCATAAATTTGACCTCCTATGAATTCGCTATGTCTGTCCTGATACCAGTGAATCAGTGAGCTCAAACAACAGGTATTTAAGGCTGTCCCACAGAGTGAAAAATTTAGTGTGTCATGGCCCTATCGAGGCAACGTTGTAGAGAAGTCCTTTTTTTCTTTTTCTTTTTGCTGAAAGTCAGAGTTACCTCAAAATCAGAATGAAGCTTGGAGAGAAAAAATGAAAAAAAATAATCCTTTGTAATGTTAACTGCAAAATACAATGCCGCATAAACATTAATAGCACAGATTAACCTTTTCTGACCTTTAGTCCTGAGTCCTGCAGATCTTGGGAAATTCTAGTCTGAATACAGGCTTTGGTGGGTCAAAGCCAAATTGTGAGTTGAAGTTGAATCAGAATATCTCCTTCAACTTTACTTTCTGAAAATGTGAATCCCACTGATGCATTCATACTTGCTTAGGTAAAAATACAGGAGATGTTCCACTATCTACGAACTCCAACACCCACGCCAATACTTAAGAGTATGTTTTCATTATAATGTTTAAAAAAAAAAAGGTGAAAAAGAAATAGTATTTAACTTGGGTATTAGCAATTACAGGTTATTTTGCAGTGTTAAGAATGTACTATGAAATGTTTAAGAAAGAGAATGGTTAATTGTTAAAATTATTTCTGTCATTTTTGCTTTCTTCAGTATTTATATTTCTCTCAAACAGAACAATACAAATCAGTCACGCCAGTTTGTTGTTTATCCCTCTTTCAAGTTCACAAACCTTGCCATGTGATTTGGACTGCAGTGGATGTTTCTTTGTTCAAAACAATTGACTTTATGCAGACAAACTAGACCATGCCTGTAACAGGTTTGTAAAAGAGCTTATTTCCACAAGATTTGGGTGGATATGGCTCAAGATTTGGGAGTGTATAGAAAGTGGTGGGATCTCTATGCACATAGGGAGATCTCTGTGCTCAAAGGAGCTGAATGCAGATGCAGCCTGCAGGCAGAAAAAAGAGCTGAGCAAAAGAGGAGCGGGAAGAAGTGAAGTGCTGGCAGTTCTGGGGGACCATGAATAACTTAAGTTGAGCTGAGTTACACTAGTAGCCCACTGTCACCTCTGACTTCCTGCTGTGCAAAATAAGAGATAAAAGGAATAAACAATAGGTGAATGGGAGATGGGGGTGTTACAGGTTATTATGTAACAAGAGACATAGATATGAAGGACAGAATATACTATGGATATGAACTACACTGACCAGATAAATCTACAACAAAGAAATCAAGCATCTGTTCCACTTAATCAATGGGAAGGGTTGCAATAAGGTCTTCGGCAGGTTACTAAAATGCTGACTCGGATTGCTGCCAAAACCAGTGGTTAACTTTTTTCAAATTTTAAGACGTATATGTTTGTTTTCTTGTTGTTTTCTTTTAAATAGAAGCTTCTGTTTGGATCATCCTTGAAACTCTTTGAGGAAGAACTGAGTGTTGCATCAGCCGGTTCAGATTTTTATATTGGCTTATCTTCCTTCTGAAGTGAGTTGTTAAACTCAAGGTGGCCACTATGCTTCTGTGTGTACTGGAGGATCCAAGCTCATTTCCCAGCTTGGCAGTATGTGCTTTGGTCATGCCTCAGTTCTGATTTGGGAGGAGGCCCAGGGTGGTATCAGCTTCCATGGAAAGGAAACCCATGCACACAAGCTTAACGGAGCCACAGCATGTTCTAGTCAGGTACAGGCACCAGGACTGCAGAGCAGGCACCAGAGCCCATCGCCCTCACTATCTGCATGCTGATAAGTACTTTTTGAAGTCGTATATGCAGAGAAGTGATAATAAGTTCTTTATCTTAGCAACAAATTGATTTTTCAGTGTTACTAGCCTTATATTTCAAAACATTAATCTGCTCATGATTTCAAAATTTTGTATGTGTTTTAAATTTCACAGTAGTTTTCTGTGGATTTTTAAAGTCAGGAAACCTACCACAGAGATACTTTGTGTGTGCATGTTGCAAAACTCATCCTGAAGGCTGAAGAGAAATAACCTGGAGACCCTCAGTAGTATTTCTGAAACGCTTCATTCTGGTTCAACATCAGTGTGAGTTCTCTCCCCTGTGCAGCACAGCCAGCTCTCAAGTGAATGCTCCTCTGCCCTCATTTCACTTGCCCACTGCACTGGGGGATCCCATCCAAATCTCATCTCTGCTTTGTTCCCCTGCATTTGTGCTGGACATTGGTTCTGCGTAGTTTCTTCTCTAGCTTCCACCTCTCACTTCCTCAAACCAGATGCTGTTTTTTCTTCTCTGATTCCTATCCAGAGAGCATCTAAGCAGTACAGAGAGATGAAGCTCCTGGCTTTTGCAACATAGAAAGTCTAAGTGTACGTAACTCTAGACTGCGTTGTAGCTGTAGCTGTTTGTCATTGTTCAACTCATCTTCTTCGTATGAAGGCTGAGAGTGAAGAATAGGTCAGATCTCTGTTGGCTTCTGCGATAAGTGCGGTTCCCTGTTGCCCTGCCAGAACCTGCTGTTGGTGCCCCAGAAACACTGTTACTGTAAAATAGTTTTTGAGATAGATTTTCGTTTCAACTTACTTTTCCAGTAGCTTTGTTGTGTAAGCAAATCTTTCTATCATTTTAGACCTTTAGACTTTTTCTCTTAAAGTTTTCATCATAAATGGTGTGTGATATCTACTGGTAAGGGTTACAGCCATCTGAAATTTTTATGATGATTTCTCCTTGTTCTGTAGCTTACTCCAGATATTAATAGTGCAGGTAAGACTTGGAGGATTTACAAATTGTATGGTTTGCCTACACCTCCTTTCTGTCTTGACCATCTTGAACAGAAATACAAACTGCTTAAAGAGCAAATTCTGTGTTTGTTGCATACATCACAGAAAATGGTATAGCCAGTGCTAAGGCATCCATAGGTTTTCTGTAGTCTAGAGAAGATGAATGTGGTTATCAGTTTTGATCACAGACTGGGTAATGGCACCTGTTGTTCTTGGCATTAAGCCATACTTGGCTTTGAGCAAGAATGTCCTTTTAGAAAGATAATTTCACTTAACAACTGCAACTGATGGAAAATTGTTCTGTGTTTAACCACCGGACTTTTAAACATAAGTTTTAGTACTTATATAGACTCATAGAATGGTTTGGATTGGAAGGGACCATTAAAGGTCATCTAGTCCAACCCTCCTGCAGTGAGCAGGGACATCTTCAACTAGATCAGGTTGCTCAAAGCCCCGTCCAACCTGACCTTGAACATTTCCAGGATGGGGCATCTACCACCTCTACCACCTCTCTGGGCAACCTGTGCCAGGTTTCACACCACCCTCAGTGTGAAAAATTTCTTTCTTACATCTAATCTACATCTACCCTCTTTTAGTTTAGAACCATCATCCCTGTCCTATCACTACAGGCCCTGCTAAAGAGTCTGTCCCCATCTTTCTTATAAGCCCCATATTTATCTGAATTTATCTAACTACTTCTTAGCTACTGGGCATTATTATACCCTTATCTGCTAACTTGAAGAGCCTTCTACTATTAGAAATCTTCCCACAATCAAACCATATTTGCCTTCTTTTTAATAATTCCTTAAATCTGTTTCTACAAGACCATGTCCTGGACTATGAATAATTCTCATGGCTTCTCCCTAAATCTTTTTTACCAACAGTATGCTTTGAATGATAGCCTTCCTTAGATAAATTTGTATCTTCCACTTTCCATGGGGTTTTTTTAATGTTCTAAAATTCCCTATCTCTGTATGACACTTACTTAAGCATTTGTTGTTCTTTCTGTAAGCAAAAAGGCATATTTTCACGTACCTTGCCAAAATTTCACTTCTTTCTTGCTTTGTTATTTGCTAGATAGTAACAAATCTCCACTTCAGAGACAATGACATTATTCTGCAGATACATGTGTAGCATGTACAGCAGTTCAATTGTGGGTGGAAGGTGTTTTTTCTTGGAATTTGATGATGGTCAAGAATCCAAGATGGTCACAGTGCTACACAACAGGTAGTTTCAGTGCTAAAAAAATTCTAATCCTTTTTTCCAAATGAGTGGGGTTTTTTTAGATGTTATTTATTGTCAAAGTCTACAGAATATAGAGTCTCTTTGATGATTGTTGTAACTAAACAGGTAAGCTTGGGAATTAAAAACTAGAGTGAGAAAGGCAGATACAGCATTTTTGCTGTTCCTTGCTAGTTCAATATTGCTGCATGTGGTACAATCTTTATTTAAATGCACCAACATATGTTTCATACATTATGCTATGAGCTTAATGGATAGGTGTTTATAGCATCATGCCATTTAAGAAAGTTTGCAAATAATATATAGTTTAGCCTCTCTTTCAAACCTTAAATAGGGAACTTAAAACCTCAGAATTACTTCATTTGCTTTTGCACTGGTCACGACTCTTGTAGCTCTCAGTGATTTTAGTAGGATTGGTCTATTGTTCATACCAATGGAGGCTGAATTTATTTTCAAGTCAGATTTCATGCATTGCTAGATTCACATTCTGGATTCTAGCTAGGTCTAATGTCTCTATAAGTTAAACAACATATAGGGCTCAAAATGTGCCCATACTAGTTCTCTGAGGACAGAAATAAAGATGAGGACTGTCACCTAGTTAATGCTGTCAGATATAACTCTATAAACCTTACCATAGTTCTGACATATTAAAAGGAGTATATAAATTCTTAGTAAAGAGATAATCTCATAGATAATTAAGAAATTACTATCTCCTTTAAGAAAAACAGTTGTTGGCCTGTCATAATTTTCTCTGAGGATAGGTTGCAGGCTGAAAATGAGAGCGCTGTAGCTATTTTCTTTAGTTTATTCCTTACCTCCTTTAAGTAACATATTACAGATTTGCATATTTTAGACAATCAAAAGAGACCATGTATTTTATAGGCTGTCAATAAAATAAGAAAATCACATTCTTTATGATGGAAACATTTACCAAGAACAACCTTTAAATTAATCAAAACTGATTTTATCACAAGAAACACAAGGGAGTTTTTTAAGTACTTTATGAGTAAAAACCCAACTATTCCATTATGTGCATACATTAAATTGTTCTTTTACCAATACCATTATCACCTCTGCAAAGATTGGAAATCCAGATGTTTCATTGTACTTCCAGCATATAGCATATTTAGAATCCTGTAAGATCTGTTATGAATTACAGTACAGGGTGCACAGTCTTCACAGGGATGTTTCTTGAATGACATGTGAAGAAGAGATCCAGGAGAAGCTGATGGACCTGCTAGTCTGTGAGATAGGAGATGGTCTGAATCTTTGTAGACTATGTCTTCTTCCCTTGAATATCATTCACAGTGTAAGACAGATGGGACTTAGCAGTGAGTTGAGTAATAAACTGAGTAATAACTAAAGGAACTTTTGTTTGTTTGATGGAAGACCACACTGGGCAGTTAATTCTTGGTAGCTTGGTATGGTGGGTTGACTCAAGACAGCAATTAAGCACCCACCATCCACTTACTCACTCCACCCTCCGTAGTGAGGTGGGGGAGAGAACTGGAAGAGCAAAAGCGATTAAATCTCATGGTCTGAGATAAAAACAGTTTAGTAAGTGAAGAGTAAAAATGAAAAAACCCCAACCAACCAACCCACCACCAACTGGTACAAAAACAATCACTCACCACCTCGCAGTAGCAGACACAATGCCCAGACAGTCTCTGAGCAACAGCTACCTTGGGAAGACTACCCCCAATTTTATTGCTGAAGATGATGCTATATGGTATGGAACATCATTTTGGTCATTTGGGGCAAGCTGTCCCCGCTGCCTCCTCTCCCAATCTCTAGCCTTCTGCTGCAGAGTGGGCCTTGGCACTGTGCAGGCACTGCTCAGCAATTGCTTAAACATCAGTGTGTTATCAACACTGTTTTAGTCACAAGTCCAAAACTCAGCAGCATATAGGCTGCTGTGAAGAAAATTACCTCCATCCCAACTAGATGCAATACATTTGGGATTACAGGAGTCAGACCAGATAATAAATATATTAACAGAGTTGAAGTATAACATTTTGATTCCATTCGTATGTCTGTGTTTTCTCTCCTGCATGGCTTGATTGTTTATGTACGTGATTGTTGTACAACCTTCACGTGGTTTACATAAGAAAACCCATTGCAGTAAAAGCTTTACCTCTAAACTTGCATTCCTTAGATAAGCAGTCTGCTTACTGAGTTCTCTTCTTTCAATTACTGATTGATCTCACATCTGAATCAGCAGCTCTTGAAGAGATGAGAGTGATTGCTCTTTCAAATATGACTTGTGACACCAAAAAGAGTAACATGTTGGCACAACTGATATTGTTACTGATAGTTCCACCACTAATTTCAAATGCTTGTGGTAAATCTCCATATTTTGAATTCTAGGGCCTCTGTAGAATTTAGAGGTCTTGGGATTACAGTGCTTCGATATGTAGATTACTGTGTAGTCCTACCTCTCAAGAGCTCCAGGAAAAGCACTCTGTAAATACTGGTGTCCTAAAAGAAAGTAAAATCATATTTTTCTGAGAGACAAATTAAGTTCCTAAAGTATTGTTTATGTCAAATTTTCGTTACCTGTGGTAACCAGCTGTGTTCCAAGAAAGTAATGTGATCATATGGTGGTGTTACCTATGACTGTTACAGCTTCTGCTAATGTGCTTTTGCTCCTGTGTTAGATTGTTTTTCTGCTTCTTGTGATAAACATGTAAAGAGTATACCGGGCTACTTGTCAGGCAGACAAAATTTTCCATCACAGAATTGAGCTAGATACAGCATATGTTTAGATGTGCATGCTAAACAAACCTGAAAGGGACACAGCTGTATTTTCTAGAGGAGAGTTAAATTTCACAGTTGCTTGCTTAGAAATAGATTACCAGCTAATTGGTGATTTACTCCATGCACAAAACTAAATTTCCCTATTAGTGAATTTAGATTTACTTCACAGTCCTCATTAATTGTTCTCATGTTATTTTATATAATGATACCTAATGATGCAATACAGAATATAAGCATGGGGTTAAGGTTAAGGATTTAAACATAAACAAAATCAAGTATTACTGAGAAAAGGTTGAATATTTACTCAACCTTGACTGCAGTAGTTTTCACGTATAGTCATTGAAATAGCATCTCAATACATAATTGAATATTCTTTCTCAGGTATCATAAGTAATAGAGAGTAACATTCTTTCATATAAATTTAGTTTAATGTACAGTTGAAGTGAAGTGCCCAAAAGTCACAAAAAGAAAGGGTTATTTTTTAGAGTAACTGTAATCTGTGCACCATACACATATAGGGCTAAATTTTTAAAGGGGTCTCAATTTTCCCTCTGATTTTATATCCTCAGTCTATTTCATGCATGTATGATAGGATTAAGATATCTGAGTTTTTGACGTCAGTCACTAATTGATATATCTTAATCCCTTCATATCTGTCCATAAAATAAGAGGCCATCTTTAAAAATTTCACCTAAAGTGCTCAATTTTGCCTTCAGATACCTCCATGCAACTTCCATTGAAGTAATTGGAGCTGTGCCTGCATATCTGATGGTGGAACTGGACTCATTGCAATTAAGGTACACATTTACCAACATAATTAGTCATCCGGAATAATCGCTGGGCCCAGTGTGACATTCTGCAGATGCAGAATTTCCTGGATTGGACCCTCTGCGTGTGGGAGATTGAAGATTACGATCATAGCTTTATTTCTTGCCTTAAATTTGTAGCTATAGCAGAACTTTACTGTCATTTGCTGTATTTAATTTTCCTATTTTAAATAGGAAATGTTGAAGGAGGACATGAAGACAACAACAGTATTTTTCACAGTGATGCCTTTGTATATTTTTTCATACCCAGTCAGCATACAGACATTCCATGTTTTCCATGAACATATTACGGATGCTAAGTGCATGCACAATCATGATTTGTGCAATAGCATGAGTTTAAAAGACCCAACCCTGAGTGTACCGCCTTTTTTTGTATTTTTGTGCTCACAAAGCACAGACAAAAAGTAGATGTGTAAAGTGTCTCACAGTTAACTAGCAGCATAAAACCCAGATATGATAACATTGGTACCTCTTAATTCACAACACGTATCTGTAAACAATATGATAGAGTACTTATTTCCCCCCAATTTAAAATTCTCTGAGTTTTGTGATTGATTTCATGCAGCTTTTAAATTGGTGTGTCTCTCCTGTCACTGGTCTGGGGAGGGGCTGTTTACAAAAATCTTGACTTTTAAACTAATCATTTTGGAGAGAGTCATATAAATCCATGGCTGACCCAAAAAGCAGAAGGTTTTGTGGAGGTTTTCCCAAATAAAATGCCAGTCTTGAATATGTGACCACACAAAAAATTCCAACTAAAAGAAGTTGTTCTGGGAAGTTATAACCTTTTAAAAGACAATGAACATAGTGAGTACTCCTGTGATTTAGAACAATGACTGATGAATATTTGGGTCTAGTCCTAGAACTGTTAAAAAATGCCAGTTTTCAAGGTATTGGTTTTGTTTGTATTCCTTTGCATTTATAGTGCTACCAAGTTTAAGAATGGCAGAATATATAGTTACCTCTGAAAATTATCCACTATCACAAAGGTTAACTTACTTTAAGGAAGCCTTACCCCAGGGGCTTTCACACTACTCTTTCCATTAGTGCAAGATCATCTTCTTGTGGCAAGCACAGCCAACATTAATTGTCATAACTTGTTCAAATGGAAGAAGCTACTCTTTATAGCACGACAACTTCTTGAAGATTTAAGATTAGATTTCTCTTATGAAACAAATATTGTCATAGGGAAATTGAAAACAGAAGAACAAATAATTTCTTTGAAATGGAAGTGAACATTAGAGAGCAAAGTAGTGCTTTTAAAGGACTTTGTAAAAAAAAAAAGTTACTAGAAAATGACTGTATTTTTTACTGTGACTGGTTGAATGGAGAAATTATTCCTCTCAAATAATCTTTAGCTATGGTAAGCAGTTATGTTTTAAGATAGTCAAGGAGTTAATTACTTTAAAAATAAATTTTAATACCTGTTTAATGCATTAATTCTTAGAATGGTACTGTAATATTTTCTACATTTAAGCAAATACATGGTTAGATCATCATGGATTTATGTCCCCTGCATCCAGAATTTATTAATTCAACCTATCACCTAAATTCTTTCACTCTCTTCACATCTGTTGCACCAGCTTGATTATGTATAGGAAATTGGGATGTCTGTCCATTTGCAGGTAAAGATTCTCGCAATGGAAGTGGTTGATTTCTTGACATTAGTGTTCCTTTGTTCTGTGTTTACACCCTGCTTGTTCTACATGTTTGTACATTTCTCTGTTTCATTGAGATGGAAATAAGTTAGAAATGTTGCTAAACCATTTGTTTTTCCAAAAGGTTTTCACTATTTTTAATTAATTTTCATTGTGTGTTTTTGCAGCAAGCTTAGTAGTGGAGGAGCGAACGAGACAGATGAAAATGAAAGTGCACCGTTATAATCAGACATCAGGGTCTGGTTCTAGCCAAGAACATGAGCGTGAGCAATATACCAAGGTAAAGTCAGTAGTATTGAAATGATACTTTGGCTTGAAAATTGAAGGCGTAAACCATTAATATTATTTAAAATATTGCATTACCTTCAAGAACACTGTGTTATAAAACCTGACAGAAATGTCTTCAAGTAACAGCTTTTTAACATCATTTTTACCCCCATCTGATGTGCATTAGACTTAGTCTTTGATGTCACCTAAAATGAATCTACAAAAAGCAGGCCACTTCAAAACTAACTCAGGGAAGAAAAATCCTTCAACAGCTATTAAACAAAGCCATGTCACCTCTAGCTTAGGAAGCTCCTGGCCTGCCAATCCCTGAAGGCCGGAAAAGCAGGCCGTGGAAGCATCATTGTATGTTGGCCCTACTCTCCTGTTCTTCTCTAGGCCCCTGCTGTTGTCTGACATGTAGAGAGCTAGGCGGAATTAGATCCAGTCCCATGCAGCTGTTCTCATATTTATATAATTTTTTTGCATCCTAATAATGTCCCAGGTAAAGTATTTCCTTTCTTGAAACACACACTGATTACTTTGATCTCCTTTTCTAATAGAAACGTAAAGGTTTCCTCTGGTAATTAAGGGTACATGAAATTACATTAATGCAGTTATATAGAGGGACCTTTTTTTTGTTCTCGTTCATGCTAAAATGACAACTTTGTAAGATTAAAACTGTATAGGCTTCTGAGCAAACTGCTGACAACGTCTCGCACATCTGCACTGCCACTTACAAATCAAGCTGTGAGGGGCTGGAGCTGAACTTTCTGCTGAAGGCTTGTGACACCTAACAGAGGGGGAACATTTGCAGAAGTCAGGAGGGGGAGAGTTTAGATTCTGGCTTTCCTTTTAGAGGTACAGCACTGTGGTGGTGTCGGCAAAGTAAAGGGCTGGCAGAAAACGAGCGGTAACTCAGCTGGGTGGGAAGCTTTGCCGCAGTTCTCTCCTCCCGGTGCCGTTGAGAGTTACGTGCTTTCAGCGAGTGACCACAGGATGGCGGTATGGATGTGAAAGTCCACTGTGAACGATTCGGACACACAGAGCAGCTGTGTGCGTTAAAAATAAGGTCTCGGAATAACTGTAGTTGGAAGAAGATCACATCTTTTATTAATTTAGACTTTCGTGCCTCTAGAGCCACATTTCAAAGACTTTCTTCACATCACTAAGAACTAAACGCTTGTATTTTTATTTCTACTTTTTGAGATGAACTTTTCATTTGTGAACCGATGCCATACAGAAAACAATAAACATTCCCAAGCTCTCAACAGCTGCAGACATCAGAACGCTCCTGGTGTTTATTGCTGCAGCACAGGCACTGGACTTTCTGTCCTTGCGCCTCCAGGGTCACTTCCCGGTGGTTTGCAGAATTGATGTTTGGGGGCATCCTGGAGGCACAGGTTAAAATAGCGGGTAAGTGAGGTAGGTACTCAGCAGAAACAGAACCAGAAATTTACTTAGGAATGGGTAAACACGCAATTGGGCATCTAACTTGTGGTATGTAACAGATTTGAAAGATTTGTTCAAGATCTTGTTAAATGTGGAGACTTTAGTAAAGCTGTTTCTTTTTTGAGACCACCTCGCTGTGAACATAGAACTTAAATGAAGTAGTTCTCAAAGGGAAGAGAAACAAGAGAAACAAGGCTTTAGGTCCTCAACTGCCAAATTGTGGGATATCAGTACTATTTAAAAAAAAAAAAACAACACAACAATTGGAATGGAAATTTCCAATGAGATCATCTGTCAGAAGCCAGAATTTGTATAAAAAGTAGAACAGCTCATTTGATACTGGGTTTGCCGTTACCTTCTAAAGAGGGTGAGATGCAGTGTGTCTCTGTGGTACTTCCAGCCAGTTAACATGTTAAAAAAATAGTAAAAATGTATTTGATAAAGATTGAATGAGAGAAATTGTACCTTCCAATGTACAATCTGGACAGGATGACCAAACATATATGTTTATACTCAAAGGCTAGTTTTCTGATTTGGATTAACTGTGTTTACAGATTGATTCATCTTTTTTCATTATGAAACATTTTTTATTCTGACTCTCTTTAATATTTATCATAAACACTATTATTGCTCTTCAATATATTTTTCTTATTCTGCTAATATAAATCCCATGTATGGTGAAATAGTTGTTGGAAAACATCTATCTGCAATGTTACCTATTTCCCTTATCCTCTAGTACCTAGAGTTTCTAGTATCATCTTTAGGTTTTAAATACACATGGAAGTGAAATCAAAATTGTAATCACAGCATGATAAGTACTAGATGGAAAGGACTCTTCTGAAGTATTGTTTATTCAGAATTTTTAAAAAAGGTATGATCACAACTTTAAGGAAGCAAAATCTCTGTCCTTTGTTACAGGAAAAATATCTTTCAGGTACCTAGTGTTCCGAAAGACATTGTCTCCTTTCCATGCTGAAACAGTAGTAAGGAGAATTAATGACTTGTATTGGACTTTAAATAAAAAAATCTTTAACTTTTCATGTATTTTCTACATGATTATAGTCCTAGATAGGATTGTCCAACCTATAATAATTTTTTAATGCTGAGAACAAATTATATTAGCACATCCTAATACTCTGTACTATATTGAGTGATGTAGCTGTTTGCTTCATATCATTATGGTGACAGTCATCACCTTAAAAATGTTACTAAAGCAAACCTTGTGCTACTGTCTTTCTACCTTGTGCTACTGTCTTTCTTTACCCTCAGAAGATGCTGAAAGAGTCAAGAAAATAAACAGACAGGTGAAGATTTAGACAGCTGTAATGAAAATGTAGTAAGTCATATCAGGTGATGCAGTAAAACTGATGACTGAAACTTCTAAGAACTCCAGACTATACCTAATTTCTGCTGCCAAAATCTGTGAAAAGTCTCTGAAAGCTGCAGGAGGAAGACTTAATTTAAATAAAAAAGAAAAAATGTTCCATGGTCTAATAGCTATTTTGGAATAGTGAGAAAAAAATATTAAATAGCTATTAAAGAAACAGCAGTTGCAAGCAGTTTGTCCCTCTAACAGAAATGCTTCTTTCTTTCCCAGGTAGCAGTGTTTGCCCATTGCTTCAGAAAATAAGTATTTATATTTATTAGAGAAATTATGCTGTGCTGCACATTGAGAAAATATTCCCTTCTGCTTTTCAGAGCAATCAGCTAACATGGATTTGATTCTTCCTTTATTTTATCATTTGCAAATATGTGTGTTTTATTACACATAAGATTCTCTAAACCTTTCAAAAATTATCTTTCAGTATGGACAAGATCTCCTTTGCGATAGTTAATTAAGTGCATGCAAAATTAATTCCTTAAATCTAAATATGTTTTCTCTTATATTGAAACCAGCCTCTTTTTCAGAGGTATTGTAACATGGCCTTTGCAGTTTCTAATCCATTTCTGGTGCATTTCTTCCCACTCAGTTTCTCAATCTTCTAGTCTCAGTAAGCAAGAACTAGTTTTTCAAGCATGCACCATGCAAGTTAGTGTGTAAACATTTTTAAAAAACCTGTGTGTTATATATCCATTAATGGATTTTGAGTAGGTGACTCTCTGCTCTACAATGTTTGTATAGGTCTTGATGGCTGTTCCACTCTTAATTGTTTTCAGACCCTCACAGAGCTCACATCCTTATTTCCTTCAGTTCCAATGGAAAGACTCCACAATTTATGTGACATAGTTAAATTAAAACAAAAAACAAAAAACAAAAAAACAACCCAAACCCTCTGTGGATTTGGCCAAAGGGTTTAAAGAAGAGCTTTAAGCATCTGTCTGCCTTCTTTCTTGTATATCGGTAAGGCTGTAGTGGCTAGTATCCATCTATTTGTGCTGTTTCAGTGTTTGAGAGAATCATAACACTTTGGTAGCATAATTCTGGATTTGCATAGACAAAAATGACAGTTTATCTTAATTAGGCTCTTAATTCAAAATACAGTACGTTTTTTGTTCCAGATGCCACACACAGAACACAAACACTATGCTGCAGCTGCTCTGGCTTTCCAGAGAATGTGCAACACATTTATTTGGAAGGTCTGTTTATTCAAGAGAGTTACTGGTCAGAGCACTGTAGTATGTACTTAAAAGGAAATCACTCTATATTTAGATGCGCTACCGACTCAGTTAACACTGTATGTGATTGGAAAGCATTTAGCATTAAGTGTAGAATCATAGAATAGTTTGGGTTGGAAGGAACCTTTAGAGGTCATCTAGTCCAACCCCCCTACAATGAGCAGGGACATCTTCAACTAGATCAAGTTGCGCAAAGCCCCATCCAACCTGACCTGGAATGTTTCCAGGGATGGGGCATCTACCACCTCTCTGGGCAACCTGTGCCAGTGTTTCACCACCCTCCTTGGGAAAAATTTCTATCTAGTCAAAATCTACCCTCTTTTAGTTTAAAACCATTACCCCTCGTCCTATTGCAACAGGCCCTGATAAAAAGGGCCTGTAATCATGGCATTTGTTCAGTGGTACTCTCTGGATTTAACTTGATAGTTAATGTCTACAAGGAAGCGCTGGGCAGGAGACTTGGGATGATAGGAGACTAATTATGTTAAGTTTTAGATGATGCTGGGCAAGACACTTAGGGCTATGTACGGAAAATGCTCTTGGACATTGATTTGATGAGCATCTTCTTTTGACCCTCCTTCATCCACCTACAAGAAAAAAATATTTACTGTATATCATACTGATACGACAATCACTCCACTACTGGTAGGGTTTCACAAAATTCAATGAGGCCCTTTCATTCGACTCATGGGCTTCACTGCAGTTTTCCCATGGTTTGAGTTGCTCATTTTAGGGAGTTGAGTGATGTTCACTGTAGTTGAGTTAGATACAATTACAGAAAGAGTTATATAGATTCACTGCTGCTTACTGGTCTCTGGAACATCATGTGAGCTGCTCCTAAGACACAGACACAGATGCTGGTAGGAGTCAGAGATGGGGCCTGGATGCACAAAAATGCTGACTGTGGGACCATGAACCTCAGCAGCATTGGGATGAACCATGTGTGAG